CAGAGTGGTAGGTCTCTTCTGCCGGCAGCGAGTCCATTCGCGAGTCCTGCTTCTTTTGCGTGTTTTTATTAAGAAAGCTGTGCGATCCGCAGCTGTAGTGTACACTCGGTGCGAATCGCACGCACCACCGGATGTACCTGGTGGCGTCTTTCACGTATGTTCGCTTCACTGGTGGTCAATAGTGAAATGTTTTTGCATGCGGAGCTTTCAGACGTACGCTCTGTCGATTCTTACTCATTGTGCCAACTGTGAACAGACGCGAACTTTCGTTTTTAGTGTTGTAGGCATGGTGTCGCGTTTTTAGAAGTAATGTCGTTCATACGGAAGGACAATAAACTTTCTAGTTATCGGACTTAATGCGTATGTATTGTACGGTGTGCGCTCGCTGCGTTTTAGTTGTGTGCGCACTGGAATTGCACACTTTACGTGCTTGATTGCGTAAACAATACAGTGGTGCCTTTTTATCGACGTGCAGTACGTAAAATACTAGGCTGGCGTTGCACAAAAAAGCTAGGAAGCAAGCTCTAAATAGTGTGCATTGCCACACTGAAAATGTATACGAGCAAACAACGGCTGATGAGCCCGTGGATCGGGAAATCTGACTACGAAAAAAAAGGGCCTTATGGCGAGCAGAACGCGTAAGTCATTGCCGGGTGAGTTTGAATACGATGATGCAGGGGCTGAATGGTTTGATTACGACACGTGCCGGTGCTTTCTGTGCTACTGCACAAAAACACTCCACGAAGCGATTTAGCACGCCGCACTCGGGATTGCCACGCGCCAACAGTCTCGGAAAGGTGTGCTCGCAACATTTCCCTGCATGCAAATCATATAGTATGGGTTAAGTTTATCTCGGGGCTATAAGTGCGAGCATAAGCGAACCAGCACATAGAGCATGGCGTGGAGCGTCTGCTGTTTCGTTTGCCCCATACCGGTTTGTATGCCCTATGAATTTGACGTCACTTCCGCCAAACTTCTTGCAATGCATTGGGATAGGATAGGGCCTTTCCTCCATGGATAGGGCCTTTCCTCCATTCTTTCCTCCATGGAGCCCATGAAGGAAAGAATGGTGATCGTAGCCTGCGCGTTAACTAAAAGCAGAATGCTACTGTCTCTCATTCCCCATCAGCAGCCATTGGCATGTACATTGAGCACTATTTTTTATTGTTCAACAACGCACAGAAGTCTCTCACCGGCACCACCTTGGAGGTCAAAATGTTATATTTGTTACATACTACGAAAAACGAACGGGTGCCGCTATAAGGAGCTTCGCTTCTAAAAAGCTTGTTCTGGAACCGTTGCGCATACCGAATTCAGCTATAATTCCTCATCGTCGCCAGCCACTGCATGAGCAATTGGTACAAAATTTCTTGCAAGTGTTTAGCGTATACCACGCTTCTCAGAAGAATGACGAAAAATAGCATAGCGAATGCCGGCCTACTACCCCAAAAAAATTAATAATATTGACTTAGTGGGTATCAAGCAAGTGTGCTTGCACTAGTTACCCAATGAGTGTTTCGAAAAGGCCCTGAAAGGCCGCTCTTCTAGCTTTCGCTATGACTGTGCTGCGTCTTCCACGCAGGCCTGGCGTTTTTTTTTAATTTTGATATTTTTTTGGTCAGTGACCTTTTTATTAACAATGCTCTCTTTTGATCAGGTCGTATTTCGTGAAACTCTCGACTGCAACAACATGAATATTGTTGCATAGAAATAATTTTATGCATCACGTTAGCAGCACCACTAACGCAAACTGGTAATCACATAACAAACAATCTTCTGAAATATTTCCGTGTCGAATTCAATTGCTCATTCTTATCCCGCTGTACGTTACTGAGTTGTGTTCCGCTCTTTGTTCCGGGTATTTTTCCGTCTGTGCTAGCACTTACTTTTTACTTGTTTGCTTTGTGGGATTATCTCCTGCGTCCTCGTGTCAATAGGACATTGTTCTTTTCTACGGAAAAATACAACGTGCGTCCCGATCAGTTGAAATTTTGTTTTCGAAGCCATGGCAGAGTTTTCAAAAGCAATTCTCCCATGATCGCGGGTGAGTACCGATTCATAAAGAGAGTGGCACTATCTGTCAATATTTCTCAAGGTGACTGTTTTCTACGTTGAAGTGTTTACGGGTGTCGTGCCAAATTGTTCGCCGACTTCTCATTCAGTGTCGCAATGGCTATACCTGCCGCTTGGTTGCTTTCCGAGTCCATGTCACAGTCTTAGGTGAGCGCGAACGAGGCTGCGGACGCCCCCGCTAGAAATATTTGATATAATTGAGTCATATATTTTGCTACAGCATCTAAACACTCCTAGAGGGACGCTAAAGTCTCTTTTAGTCTCTTTAAAAGGACACTAAAGTCTTAAGGCTGATGCACACCGGCGACTAGCAGCGGTCGCGCGACCATTCGCGACTGGCGACCAATAAGCGACGGATGTTCACACCGGCCGGGGCTGCATGTGAGCGACCGGAAGTCGCAAAAGTGGAGAGTCACGGCCGCATCTCGTTATCAGCGAGAACTCTAGAGACCGGCGCCAATCAGCTGATCACCGCCAGCTGAGTGAGCAGAGCAAACCGGGCGCGCCACATTTATTGTTTTCGTCCGCTCTCGCACAGCATTCCCAACATCGTCAAGCTCGATTCAAGCGAAGAACAAGACATTGTCATGGTGCTGATGCGCTGTGCCATGGTGTCAGCGCTGGTATCACAGATGCCCCCAAAGAAAAAAATACGGTAGTGTGTGTTACCGTCCTTTCGATCGCGTGAGTTGGCCGGCCATGCAAGTCGCCTACCTCCCGAGCTGCACTGAGACGACGAGGAGTATTTCCGAGAGTCAAACGTATTCAGAAAGGGTCCTTGAATTTAAATTGACTTGCCACAGCCTACAATACAGCACAAACTCGTCTCGAACGCGGTGTCTTAAGTAGTTGCCAAAGAATGAAGCAAAAACGCGTTCCAAACGCGCTGCATTAAAAGCGGTGAGAAGTCAAGTTCAAGACAGGAAAAAAAAAAAGATTATGTATACGGGATAAAGATAGTGTACAATTTATTTTCTCTTTAGTTCGATGGTGTTTAGCGTCGTGCGCGCCATGTAATTTCGACACTGCTCGAGCTGCTGCGTCCCGCCATCTCGAGGCCAAGTATTCCGTGGTGGCCATGGTGCCACAGACCCAGAGGAACGCACTCGTTTGTATCTGGCGGCAGGAAGTCAGCGCATTAAAAAAAAAAATTGAGCACCGCTGATTGGTTCCAGCAGCTTTGCGACTGCAGTCGCGCGACTGAAAAATTGGTCAGGAAGCGACCAGACAAAGCAGTCGCTTTGCGACCGTTTGCGACCGTTCGCGACTGTTTGCGACCAGTCGCAAATAGTCGCGCGACCGCTACTAGTCACCGGTGTGCACCAGCCTTTAAAGAAACACGATATATCAATTTACGTAATAGTGAAACCTCCATGTATGACGTCTAAAACGACAATGTAATCATCATCAGGGCTGCACTTGCCGAGAATCAAAGTAAATACAAAGAAATAGGTACGCCGCTGTAAGACATTTTAAAAATGATTCCGATGACGTCAGAGAAACCGCCTACAGTTAATCACTAGTAATTGGGCCCCGCCGCGGTGGTCTAGTGGCTAAGGTACTCGGCTGCTGACCCGCCGGTCGCGGGTTCAAATCCCGGCTGCGGCGGCTGCATTTCCGATGGAGGCGGAAATGTCGTAGGCCCGTGTGCTCAGATTTGGGTGCACGTTAAAGAACCCCAGGTGGTCAAAATTTCCGGAGCCCTCCACTACGGCGTCTCTCATAATCATATGGTGGTTTTGGGACGTTAAACCCCACAAATCAATCAATCACTAGTAATTGGTCTAGCTGCCTTAATTAGAGAATCTTCCGTGAATCAAGAGGCGTAATAAAATGCTGCTTGTTCGTTTCTTTTTGATTCATGGAAAAAAGAACTGCCGGTCATTAGTATGGGGAATGGCATGAGTGATTAAAAATTCGATTTTCGTGTGGTTAAACTCGACAGGTCGTGGCATCTAGCGGGGCCGAATTGAACCAAGCACGCCTGCAATTTTGAAAGCCATTGATGAAATTTGTTCAATGGCCGTTGTTGCTGCTGTGGTTCCCACTACTTTCCCTCTGCTGCTAGTATATAGTGTCAGCAGCCACGCATTAAAGCCGGGCAACGTTGTGCACGTCAACAGTGACATCAGACGTCTGTGGAGGCGGGTGATATCAAGTGTGCTAACCCAATGGGTACCACTAAAACACAATTTTATCTCAAAATAAGGCCTTCGTTGGCACAAAAGTATCATTACGATGTTTCTGGACCGCTATTTCAACAATAAACGTTGCACTAATTGTTGCCTCTAGTGTGCCTTTAAAAGCGTCAGCTTCAATACATTCGTCACCGCACACACACAACGCACGCGCGCGCACACATGGATACGGGCTCACATAGGAGACGCACGCACGCACGGAAACACACGCGCTAGCGTCACCAATGAAAACGAACCCTGCGAGAACAAGCAGGCACTTTAAACAAATATCTAAGGCTCCAAATCAGTAACCTAAAAGGGAGTCGCTGTAAACGTTTATGGCGCTCGTTACGAGAAACTTCTGCCTCACGTACAGTACAAAGCCAAGCGCTTTAATCATTCTTTTTCTTATTTTATATCATTTTAATTTCCCTAAGCCTAAGCACCTGCAAAGAAAGATATCTATAGCACCGCAATGTTGGCCTTTTTCATATCACGACCAACTGTCAACCAAGCAATACTATGCAAACGACAATACTATGCAAAAAGCATACCACCAAGTGATAACACAAGTGGTTTTTAACAATGGTCATTTGCTAAAACTTTTTAAGTAGCATGTATAACAAAACAAAACAAAAATAAGTAATACAACTTCATTCTATTGCATAATTACTCCGTGACGTATCTGACGCTTCTAGAAATTATGCTCCACGTGCAAAAAAAAGAAAAAAAGACATAACACAATATCTCTGACCAGTGCACTTGAAACCAATAAAACAGTACTTTATTTCAATTTTTTGCTCGTCCTCTTTTGTGAAGAGTCCATTGTGTAACAACAAACACGGTGCATCTATAGAGCCAACAATCGCAATAGTCCCAGCGTGCATTTCCTAATTTGTAATTGTGCATCACAGACTTGATTCACGCCACTCGTACGCATGACGTCCGACGGCACTGCTTATTTTCGACGGTCTCAGCCAGGCAGACAATGACAAAAAGATATTAAAGGTGTCGTTTCGTGGCATAGCGTGCCTGTCGTTGCGACGTTCGCATTTCGCGTGGGTCACTCGTTGCTCTCGTCGGCCTTGGGCGTCACGGGGCCGCCTTCCTTGTCGCCGTCGCCTTTCGCAGGGCGCTCCTTTCTGGGTTTGTCCAACAGGCACAGGCCGTTCTGGCAGACGCCTTCGTGCCGGAAGAACTGCGCAAACAACGAGGTTCTTGCTTCAGACAGTGGACAAACACCTTTAAAGTGTGCGTCAGCAGAGTGAGATTCAATGCCGTTAGTCTCTCGATACGCACACTCAAGAAGGCAAAAACAAAAACGCAGACTTTCACGTTACGTTTGCGCTGGTAGGTAAGATGTAAAAGCTAAAGATGTTGCGGCAAAAGGACTCAGTCTTACATAAGACAGGAACTGCCCGTGGTAGATTACTAATCGAGATATCGCGCTATTTACGTCCAAGATGAAGGTGGCATATTCCACTACTGAGGCGTAATTGATATGCGAAAAAATGCAAGAATGTCGGTGTGCTCAAGGTCAGAGGCAAATAGGAAACCACGGGGGGTAAAAATTATTGCGAATGTGTTTACTATGCATCACACGATGTGAATATGCCTCCCGATCATGCCTGTTTTAGCATACCCGCACAAGTTAAGTTGATTTCTCGCGCCTGAATCTTCGTCATCCTCTGGCATTCTTTTTTCATCTGTATAAAGCGTGTACGAGTTCTCATAATGTCGTACTTCAAGTCTTTCATTCCACGCTGCAGGTGCGTTCTTTTATTTGAGAACTTAAGAAAAAAAAATGGCAGATCCCGCGTACAGTGCGAATCGATGATATACGAAGCACGAATGAGAAATGTTGATATGTCACTTGAAAATCAGCACAACACTACGGCATGGAGGTAAATGATGCCGTACCTGACTTCCGTGTCATCATTATCATGTTTCGATGTGTCGTTTACCTTCATCATCTATTCACGTCACCTGATATCAAATTTAGTATATGTGGAGCTAGCGAAACGGCCGTGAGCACGCTAAGAGCGTACCTTCTTATGTTCTTGCATGACACGCGTATCAGGATTATCATGTTTGAACCAGCCATATATTTCACCATCTGTTGGCGTCACGTAACACCAAACTTGTTCTATGTGGAGCTAGAAAAACGACTGCGAGCGCATCATCAAGGGCCCAATATACTCCAATATAGCTTTGACGCGTGCGCACGCTGGGCACAGTGATGGTATACGTTAGCAAAACGCGAGCACTCTATAGTCTGACGCCAGGCGCGACCAGCGTCTGTCAGCGCGGCCCGACAGCAACAAGCTCAAAATGCGACATGCCGCATTTCGCACCCACGCGTTACCCGGACAACACCGCATCTCCCTTTTTTCGTGACGGAGGGACGCCGGTGCGCTGAAAGGCGCATGCGTCAAAGAAACGCAGCGTGGCGCTTGCCTGCGAGTATATGGCAGGACCACCGCCTGGCTTGGCAACACCAGCGTGATGCGACTAAATGAACGCCGGCGAGCACACGCACCGCGTCACGTCGAAATGTAATGGCGCCTTGACTGTGGCATGTAGTCACTTTCTCTCATGACAAACATCGCATGATTATCATGTTTGCATTAGCCTCATATCATCCATTGGCGTCACGTAATACCAAATTTGGCATATGCGAAGCTAGCGAAACGGCCGCGAGCGCATCATTAGCGTAGCATGTAGTCATGTTGTTACATGACACGTCTCATGATTATCACGCTTGCACCAGTCACATATCTTCGTCATCCATTCGCGTACTATAATACCAAAGTAAGTATATGCGACGCTAGCGAAACTACCGCGAGTGCATCATGAGCATGGCATGTAGTCATGTTGTTACATAACACGCATGTCATCATTTTCATGTTAGGGTTTGTCGCTTGTGTATGTCATGCAATCATGTCATACCATACCCGTTTTGCAACAAGCAATGCGAACGAAACCACCGCAAGAGCTGCAGGACCATGAAATATCAATCATGGCATTCATGACATACGTGTCATGATTTCATGTTATGACTAGTCAAATATGTTTTTCATACAGTCATGTTATGCCATACCAGGTTTGGTATTGATATCATTACCGAAAAAGCCAGGAGAACTAAATGTCGTAGGCGGATAGATAGATAGATAGATAGATAGATAGATAGAGATAGATAGATAGATAGATAGATAGATAGATAGATAGATAGATAGATAGATAGATAGATAGATAGATAGATAGATAGATAGATAGATAGATAGATAGATAGATAGATAGATAGATAGATAGATAGGCTCAAAGGCACCGAAGTTCGCAAAGAAATGCTTGGTTTTTAAAAAAATTATCTGGAACACTGATTTTTTAAAATGTCATTTTGGAGGATGTGCTCGCGTGCTTACACAGTGAACTTGCAATCTTTGTTGCTGTTGGTGGCTACATGGCACCAAGTTAGTTACCTATTGGCCCAATTTGTTATGAAAATTTTCAGTGGGCGCCATGGCCTTTAATTGGCAACTTCAACACTTGTGCTCTTTCAGATTGATGTTATTTATTCATCAATAGTAAATTCATCTTTATGTTACCACTCCTGTTCTATTTGGCAATATTTTGCCGATAGTATTGGCTGACAATGCTAGTTTGGTTGCATTTGGCTCGAGCTTTGGCGGCTTTTCAATTCCACCCAACGGCAACCCTGCTTCAATTATTTTCGTTCTTTCTCGTTTATACGGAGGAGTCAGTGAGTGTGGGTGAAGCGGCATCATTGAACTTTCCTAACAATTTTGTCGCTGCAACACAATGTGATCGGTAAACGTGGTAGCAACTAGTATACGTCCAGGTATTGCCGAGTTATAGATCGAACGGCGTGTCCATACTTATACGAACATGTAAAATGCAAGATGCCGTTAAGTGCACACTCACTCTAACGATGACATTTTTTTTCAACCATCACAAAATACAAAAACTGACTGAATTTGCGATGATACTAAACCATGTTTATTCCCACTTTGACGGTGCCTTTTGCTGCTTACATGGTAACCGCTATGTAGAAATAGTATTCATGTGTATAACAAGTTCGTAAGTATGTATGATTGTTCTATGCCCTACTGCTGTGTTCAGTGATTATGTGTTCTTTATTATTTTGATTTTTCTTATTTCAAACGTCGGAACTTTTTTACTGTGATGCTCAACCTTCACAAAGTTTCCCCCAAGTCATCATTATAGGGATCGTTACGTAATACCTAGTTGCTGTGACATCATCGTGTTGGTTACACGCTGTAATATTAGACGTCTACGTGATTACGTCTTTCTATCTTTGCCATCACCGGGTGAAGGTCACACATTGATGTTAAACGTGAACGTAACACACTACGCATGTGCCGTTTGCAAAAAAGGTACTTTCTGTGTTCGTGATGTCATTGTTTTGGCGTGCTTAAAAAAGTGTGCAATCCCTGTCGGACTTACCCTGCAGGGCGTGCCGTCTTGCTCCATGCCCAGTTTGATGTGACCTTCGGGCATGTGGCAGAGGTAGACGCAGTACGGGCGCACTTTTTCCTGCATCGAAACACGCACGCATATATGAACAGAACTCTCGCTACATCATGACTCAGTTGCGTGTCTCAGCGAATGACCTCTCTGAGACCAAATTCGTAAGGTTATCCTCATAAACATTAAGGCAGCTCCCATGAATGAAAAAGGCCGAGAAGCGTAATTACGTTCGCGCGCAACTTCGTGTCGTGCTTGTTTGAAGAAAGGAATGAATGAAAGACGCAACTAGAATAAACCCGGTTGTAAACCTGTTTAGTATTTTAAAGGAAACGTCCGTGGACTCTCAAACAATAACAGAGTTTATGAAAGTGCCGTTTTATTAGGGCATCATGCAGCTAACATAAAATGATATTCTCATGATCACTTATGAATATAGCTAGACGGCGTTCTGTGAATTTTATTTGATTGCTTGTGGTTCACGGCTGGCTGCCAGTTTTCATAATGGAATGTTTCTTTTTTAAGTTCCCTGCATCAATGATTAACTTAATCTACATATAAGTCAGAAATGTGGCCTCGAACACAGTCTAATAACAAGTTTTAATTATCAATGCAAGAGCCTAACAGAGTTGGCAGCTTGACGGGACATCATTTCGATTCAAGATGCGTCAGGCGGCTCGGCTTTTTGTGACGTTTCGCCGGTTCTGCAGGTATTTCTGACGTCGCAGACGAAGAATTTTTGGGGTAGAGCATACTGATGATTGTTAGGCGTGTGCTAGGTGGCGAGGAAGCTTCTCGTCATTTTACTGTACAGGGGCTATAGAGCAGAGTTACGACGTTGAAACCTCTGTAATTACTATGAAATTAGGAAAGCTATGCAAAAAGTAGCCATTCTGAACCAAGAGTAGCAGAAATGGCCTCAAGTGGCCTCGCGCGTTTTAAAACTACTGCGACGTTGCGGGTGAAGTAGCTAAATTCAAGAGTTTCTTGGTATAAATATAAATAACTACAAGAAAGGTCCTTTAAAATTATTTTTTTTTTCAGATAAAGCATGGATTCTTCATTTTCGCAATCATTTGAGGCAGGACACCCGATTCTTTCGCGCTGCTCCAGTAATGACATTCTCTCCACGCCTCTGCGATTGCTTGTCTTGAAATGGCTACGAGTATCAACAACCTGAAAAGCAGTACGAATGAGTGTGTTTTAAATCACAGTTACTGTGACTCAACCACAAATCGTATACCGACTTCCGAAATCGTTTCTAGCGTGATGGTGAAGTCCGAGTAATTGATATTCTCCACACTACCTACCTAACCTTAAAAAAAAGACAAACAGTTCGTTGGAAATTTTGTTTTTGATGCTCATGAGAGCTGAGCGTCAGAAATGCCGTGTGCTTTCGGTAGTCCTGTTGACTTCCATTCACGCTTTATAGTCGTGTTCAGCTATAGGTTGTCTGCGAAATCAGGTGCCCTGCTGCAGTTCTACTATCTTAAAGCCTCTGTTCTAAAAGTCTTTTTTTTTTGTTTTATGCAAGCAACAAATTCAATTTTGGGAGCTAGAAACACATCTTAGTCACTAGATTTTCACAACGAATACTCGAACTCCCGCGGAACGTGCTTCAAATCCAGGCAACTGGAAACTAGCCAGAATGTAGTTAAGAGTCCAATAGCTTTTTTTCTGCTGCTGCAAATACAAAAAAGAAGTAATGAAATCATTGCAAAGTAGGCAAACTCATAGCACCCGTGGTGTAGATTTGACAGAGACTTAAGCACGAGCACGTCCCCTGTGAGTTCCATTCTACCCACATATTAAATTACAAAGATTACGAACAGAAAAGGATAACCTATGATTAAAATTTTCCTGATTGAAAATGTAACTACAGCTGTACGCATGTTTTAATTTGATGATATAGATCAGGTAAAGAATACGAGAGAAACGTGTACGCGTCCAAATGCACACTGCTGTTGACGTTCAAATTTTATTTTACTAACAAGTTTAATTTCAAATACTACAGTATATCACGTTCAATTTTGTTGCAAATATTACACTATATCTATTTTCTGCTTATACGCTGTGCCTGTCGGTGTCCTATAATCTACGCGATCACAACTCCGCATTGTCATAGCTGTAATACGATGCATACCTATAGACTACTCACTACGTGCAGTATAGCACTAAAGCCCTGATAATAACGCCTATAAAAAGTGTTAATATCAATGGCACTAGTTGATGCAGTTTGAACTTTTCCCACACTATTGAAAAAAAAACGCAGCTTACACGGCCAGAAAGTTGTGCTAGTTGGAAGGGCGTCATAAATGGCTTTTGTATTGTCTGGTGCTATTTCCTTGTGTCCGATTGTGCATGCGTTGCATTCCCACGTTACTGAAAATACGCTTTATATCGTAACAAGAAGCAGTGATTCGATGGTTGCTGCTATAACTGCTGTCTGATTGAAGTTCACACTGGCCATGCCACTGTATACGCTTTCAATGACCTCTTTTCTAGCACCACTGAAACAGCTTTTGAATTCTGTTATACTTGTTGAATTTGAATTTCGTGTCCCCTCATTCAAAAGCAGAATGAAATTTGTATCATTTGTTCTACTTCACCTGAGCAAATGTATGGGTGGAGGGACCTTATTCAGGCAGAGGTAATCTGCCTTTAGTCCCTTCAACCTCGGCAATCATTGTTTTTGTCTGAATAAACAGTGAATGAATGAATTAATTCCACGACTTCTTGGTAGAACTTGTGAAAACGCTTGCCTGATAGTTTACTGCACGAACACCTGCACTGGAGCTTGGCGAGTTTGCGTATCATGAAGCAAGGCATGTTGTTGAGCTAGTCAGTTATAAATTCAGCAAATTTTTTAAATTCTCCAACTGCTCGAGGGAGACGGGACGAAATAAAACGGACAAACTCGACGTGTCTGCAACCGCCAGTGAAGTATATTGTTTTTTTACCTTTCTGGTGAACGTGACCAGTCTGTAACGTGTTTTGCTTTTTTTTTTGCCTATTCTCGTTGCTTCCGTGATGAGGCTGCTTTCACCAGCTCTCGTGCAGGTTTGTTCGACCTTCGCGTCTGACTGGCAACGGACACACGTGGCGCGTTTCTTTTGCCCGTACAGGTACAAAGAAGAACGTTATGCTTGACCCATTCGGTATCGCGTGACACTTGCCATTCTTGGATGATGACGTAAGCATGTTCGAAGTATTGTACAGTATTGTGGGCGTATTTCCTTTCGTGCGTACAACTTTGACTTTTCGTACTTTTTTCTCGTAAAAATACATTGCTATAGATTCATGCCAGGGCAAAGTCTCACTTCCTGCGGTTCCAATACACTTTCTTTTTTGTTTTTCTTTATTACCTGAGTGTCACTTTTTGTGGTAATTATTAAATCGTTCAAAAAGCTTAATCGAGGCGTATGGAAATGCTAATAAGTATGAAATAATTACGTACTTCGTGCGCTTCAATGTTGTGTATCCTAGAGCTGTCTCACTGCTGTCATTTCTGCCTCTCCCTTGCCCCTTTTCAATGAAAACTAATGCTTAAATTCAAGTCAAGTAGTGTATTATTCGTCTGGGCTTCCATAAGATCTTACTGTAGTGGTTCACATCAATAACGATTAAAAGGGTTCCTTCCTCATCGAAATATTTTACCGCTGGGATGATACCGCGGGCGATAAGGTTGAGATGAAAACAGAACGCAATGCTCCCTCCAATCAAAAAAACCCAAAAAACCAAGAAGGAACACCACCCATGCGCACTCGCCGCCATCAACCACGTCGAAAATAGTTTTTGTCCATGTGAATGCACGCAGCATACTGAACAAACTCGACTCGCTAGAATCAGTACTTCTTACTGTCGACCCTGACTTCTTGGTTGTGACGGAAACGTGGCTTTCAAACGAGATTGGAGACGCCGAAATAGCACCTCCAAACTACTGCATTGTGAGAAAGGACCGAGCAACACGCGGTGGTGGAGTTGCCATTCTTATTAACAAACGTATTCGATTCACACAGATGCCTGTTGTTGAGGGTGCTGAAGCGGTGTTCTGCAATTTATTGTGCGGCTCATTTTCAATCGTAGTTGGTTGTGTTTATCGCAGTCCAGGGTCAGACCATATCGCTATGCAATCACTGCACGCATACATGCAGCGCAATGTGAAAGGCAAGAGACTAATCCTTTTGGGGGACTTTAATCTGCCCGACATAAACTGGCGGACCATGCAGCACGAGTGCTTAAACTCAGAAACCCTTTTTGATGCAATGCTATCTTTTAACCTCAATCAGATAATAATGGAGCCAACACGGGTGCAGGCGGAGAGCTCCAATATACTTGACCTAGTATTCTTAAGCGACCATTTTCCAAGTGACAAACACAGTGTAGAAATTCTCGATGGGATATCGGACCACTAGCTAATCGTGTGCAGCGCATCAATTTGTGCCAAAAAAAGCCACTGCCACTCGCAAAAAAACGTTCCAGATTTTCAGAATGCAGATGACACCAGCATAATTGATCATCTATCAATGGAATTAGCACCGTTTGAAGAAGATTCGAAATGCGCATCCATAAGTGTCGATGAATAGTGGTTAAAATTTAAACATACCATAACGCACTGTATGAAATTATATGTACCAAATAAAACAAAAAGATCAAAGAAATATAATCCCTGGATTAATCGTGATATCATTCACGCGAAACGCAAAGTTAAAAGACTCAGGAAATCCCTAAAACTAAGTAAAAGCAATTCCAAGACTGCTCTCACAACTGCCATCACCGACATGAAATTAAAAATAAGAACCGCAAAAAAGAACTATTTCACTAACTACCTTCCTAGTTTCATCAAAAACTCGCCGCAAAAATTTTGGGGCTTTCTTAAAAATTCAAAGTCTAGCGAAAACGCTAGTCATCCTCAAGATGGCCTTATTACCCCTTCTTCGCTCAATGAGCACTTCCAATCAGTTTTCACGGCCGATGACGGCAATCAACCACCAATCGACATTTTGAACAAAAAACCATTGGAACTGCCCGTGATAACCGAACAAGGTATCTTTCATCTGCTCCTCCAACTTCACACAAAAAAAGCCTCAGGACCAGATAACATTTTAATTTGTTTCTCAACCGATATGCGGAGTGGATGGCAAAATATCTGTGCATCATATTTGATAAATCCCTAGCAACATGCACCATACCGGATGATTGGAAAAAAGCGAAAGTTAAACCGATACACAAATCAGGCCCAAAAGATGACGTAAATAACTTCAGGCCTATATCTCCTACTTGCACTTGCAGCAAACTTCTTGAACATATTATCTTAAAACATATCAATACATATCTTGAAAACGAACGCATGCTGTCGCCTTCTCAACACGGTTTCCGTAGGGGGCTTTCTACAGTCACGCAACTAACAGAACTAACCCATGATTTATCCTTAAGTGTGGACAACCAAAAACAGGTTGACCTTATCCTATTGGACTTTGCAAAAGCCTTTGATAAGGTTTCACATAAAAAACTAGTACAAAAGTTAGAATGTACCTTAGGCAATGGCTCCGTTACGAAATGGATAAAAAACTACCTCACCGGTCGCACACAATTTGTTGATTTCAATGGACAAGTATCCACAACAGTTCCCGTCAAATCCGGTGTTCCCCAGGGTTGTGTTCTTGCTCCGACCTTATTCCTAATTTTTATCAATGACCTACCCTGTCAAATTCCCGTCCACGTCAGACTTTTCGCGGATGATTTTGTATAATTTATCATGAAATAAACTCTGCAGAAAATCATCTTGCCTTAAACAATGCCCTCGAAATAGTATCAAACTGGTGTTCAGATTGGCAAATGATACTTAATGTTAAAAAATCAGCTATAATGACAGTAACAAGAAAAAGGGAATGGTCAGAGTTCTCATATACCATCAATAGTATCCCACTTCCTAGAACAAGTCATCATAAGTACCTTGGCCTCACCTTTACTAGCGATCTGAGATGGGATGCCCACGTTTCTAACGTTACAGCTACCGCACTGAAACGACTTTTTTTTCTGAGACGATGCCTTCGACTAGCACCTTCTGAAATTAAACTGTTAGCCTACAACACGTACGTGAGATCTGTTCTTGAATATGCGAACATTGTTTGGTTCCCGTACACAAAAAAACATATTGCGATGCTAGAAGGCGTGCAAAGAAAAGCTGTTCGATTTATTTTTAACAAGTTTAGGCAAACAGACTCACCAACTTAAATGCTCGAAGAAGCGGGCATGCTAACGCTGCAAAAACGAGCAAGACTAGCACGCCTACGATTCATGTACCAGCTACGCCATAAGCAAACCAACATCGATGCCTCCAGGTACATTACACTTCAACAATCACGACCCACCCGTAAGAAGCACCCCGAAATGCTACAAGAATACGCATTCCGTACGGAATGTTTCAAACACTCATTCTTCCCAGCATCAACAAGAGAATGGAACAGCTTAGCAGCTATGATTACTAACAGCAATTCTTTAAATATTTTTTCACGTCTTGTTGAAGAACACTTGCGTTTGGAACCCTAATATTGCGCTATTGTGGTCATCTTTGCAAAATCCGTTGTTTTAGACTGTGTTATTTTGACTCTTCCACACTGTAATCATTTGGATATAGTACAATTACTGTTAGAACTTTGTTGTTAGAATTTGGTTAGAATTTGTTTGAATTTGATTGTTAGAAATTGTGAGAACTTGGTAGCATCAATGTAACGCGTATCCTAAACGATGTATAACTTACGGATGTTTTTATTATGTGCTTTTATTGTGTGTTTTCCCCGATGTTCTTTCTGCGAAAATCCCGACAAGGGATTGGCAGTATTTTTAAATAAATAAATAAATATTTTATTTGCCTAGCTTAGCAATCAAGTAAACGTTAAATGCGAGTTCTTCTTATTTACATATCTTAACTCGAATGCGATTGGTATTGCATGGCTGACTGGACGGTAAATATAACTAAGTGCACAGTCGACTTTCATGGACAAACCCATCCAATGATTTTAAAAAGACGCTATCTGTCGTACTCATCGCATTTAGCAATATACGTACCTTATGAAAAGTAGCTCCATGTAGCTTTCCTTTTTTTTTCTGGCATCTTGGCTTACTAATAAGCACATATCAGCCTGTATAAGACTAATTCTTATTTGCAACGTCTGTACCAATTCTTTAATTAGCGCTAAATATATTCCATAGATAACATGACCCCTTACAATAGGATAGCATAGAAGTGTAAACATTACAGAAATATATCATGCGCAATGTTTATTTTCTTGCACTCACCACTTTGGTTCGCAGCCTGTGGCATTTCGGGTCCGTTGTCATTGTGGCGCAGCTTATCTCAACAAGCACTCCTGCGCAGATATGGATTACTTAGAAAGTATAACTATCACGTGGTTTACATTTTTTTTTTCAAAAATTACTTAAACGGGGAATTAGTGTTAGTTGGCGCTTGGTCTTTCCTTTGAAGGCATGTCCAAGTAATACTTTTAAAAATCATTAGGCCCAGGCTGCATTCAGCGCACTTTTCGCTAATGAATTCTTCAAAGCCCAACGTAAACGCATAATCTAGGAACAGCTCCAGATGAAAGCAGTTGGCAGTATAGCATCGCTCGACTCGTCTGTCTTGACTATAATAAATAACTCATTTGATGCTCAGCGTTGAAAAAGAATACTAACGCCAGACAAAGACATTTTAATTTTGGTCTAGGCTAGCCGAAATAAACGCTTTCAGCTCCGATTAGTCCTTTTTAGCCGCCAATCACGGAAAGCTAATATCACCTCACTGAGCCTCCATTGTACTAGCTGCTTAGTTCTGATTTACTCTGCTGTATGACAGCAGCTTTCCAACCTCATCTCCTTGCAATTTTTCGCTTCATCAGACAACCACAATGTATGCATTGATAGGTGTGAAACTCTTCCTTATTAACCGAACAAATGTTCTTTCAAGCAAACTTGTGCGGACTCACAATTAGCCAGCAAATTAAAATAAAGAAGGGAGGTCATCTTGGCTAAAACATAATAGTATAATTCGTTGAGAAAACTTCTGTAACGTCACTCAAAATAACTCATCAGGAAAATATAAATAACCTATGGGCCTCAGCTCACACTTCCTTTTGCATAATTTGCTGGTCTTCACGCCGTTGTGCAGGAAAGCACAAGTGTTGCCGAATTGCACTAAAACATCAGATTGTGGCAAATTGCTTATACTACGTCAGTCTTATCAAGTACTTTATCACTGTGTAAACTTAAACCAGTCATGTGTGCTTAGTGCATTCGTAGCGTTGGGCTGCTAAACAAGAGGCAGTGAATTCTATTTCTGGAAACTACTGGCGCATTCTAAAGGGAGCTGAATTCGATAAATTTTAGTGCACCGTCTACCAGCTGCGCTCTTATAAAACTCTCCAAATATAAACCTGCTTCAATAGCGTTCGTTCTTTTGGTAATTGTAAGGAAAAAATTGTATTTTGTGAAGTGAATATTTTCGGTAAATGGTTCCTCTCAATAATCACGTTTGTCTTATGGTTGATTATGGGCGTATTCCGTAGCTTGACTGAATGTACGCTGCAACTAGCCCCCTCCCCCCCCCCCTATCGTCCAGTCATCTTTAAAAACACATTTTATGTTTGATCTGACATCATGATACGCAGTTATTGCAGTTTGCAGTGGGAATTTTTGTGATCATTTGAAAAAAAAACTCTAATTAAAAAAAACCTAACCTAATAATCGTTTAATTGATAACAAAAAGCGTGTTATCCTCAGTTGGACTTTTCATCAATACGAGTCCATTTTCAGTAACTAAAGGTTGTGGAAATTTCCATACTCTTCCACTACAGCGTCTCTCATAGTGGTATATTCTGGTGTACTGGGAGTAGATGAGTAGATGACATGGCTGCTATACGTGGCAGTATCGGTAAAAGTATGGGCAACGCAAGTCTGAGTATGAATAATCGCTCACCCAAAACAACAAGCATGGCGACGCAGGCTGCTATCGTCTTCATGTCTCTATCGGGAATGGGTAGCGTGCTTCAAACGTCAACGGGTCTCGCGTATGATGCACTAATGCGATGGTCACAGCAGAGGGGCTACGCCTCGATGCGGTACTTAACTGTGAGCAAGCCGACTTTAGCAACAGACCCTATATACGTGTTTGTAGGCTCGCTACGTGTGGGGCGAAACCAACCTGATACCTCAGAAGAAAGGGAGATGAGCTTCAAAAAGAATTGCATATACGCGTTCAATGCAGGGAGCCGCAGAAGATGAAAGGAGGCAAGAGGGATTTCCTCTAAGGCTGTCGCGCCGCGTGAGAGATATCTCACGTGGGGATTGCGGGTGCGAGAAAGAGGGGGGGGGGGGAATGACCTTGATCGAGTGACGTCACTTCGAGGCGTGCGTCATGGCGGGAGGGAATCCAACGAAAAAAAATGTATATAAATGTACGAGGAAACTTCAGGAAAGCGTCACACGAATCCTTCAGACGGCTTGCTTAGGGCTCGTGCCGGAAGAAAAAAAAAAGAAGGAAAGGAACCTTTTCATAGCGTTTACGCCTGTCTATCATTATTAGCTCCTTTTCTCTCTGCAGGCGCCTGTGTTTAGTTTCTGGTGGCGGCTACCCCTTTGTTCTTCACTGTTTGGGACCCCTTCATGTACTATCTGAAAGACAATGGGATAAAAGGATTACGTGAAAAGAAAAAAAATAACAAAAGTCATTAAACACCGTCTTCCGTCTCAATAGACGAGGAAACGAACACGTCCTTAAGATGTGTCACCTTCGCCTTTCTTGCGCGACCCGTCCTGTGTTTCTCAGCGTGTGCGATCGTGCACCGCGGAGGCCTCAATTAAGGGCGCGTGGCTTGTGTCAACGTTGGCAGTGCCCACAGATGGTACGCGGGTGCGTCAGGAACTACAGACTGGCGTAGGAAGTGCCTCGCGGCGTTTCAAAGTCTCGGCAGATTGACGTGCCTTACTGAGTCACCACTGGCATTGACACGCTGTGACTCTTTATCATTAGGGTGCTTAGCATTGTGGTTTCTTTGACAGAAAACCGTAAGGCTGTTTACATTTCTTTTATCGTTGTTTTTGTTCACTTTTTTTCTCATGTGTCCGAGTTAAAAATACTTTTGTTGATAAACGACATGTTGGGCCACCTTTTGATTTTCCTTTCTTGCTTTCAACTCCCGATCCTGTCGTGGGCGCGGCCCGCAGACGAGGCACTTGGGAACCATCGCCTCCTCAGGACCAAATGAAAGTATTCAGTGAGTCAGTTGCATTTCGTGTTTTAAGCGATGTGGCACCAACTGGGTGTCACTCACAAAGTATTCGTGCCAGTTCCAGGAATCTATTTCCGAGTTTTATAGTTTTCGCTCCACACTAATGTTTCAAGACTGCTCAGCTGATATAAAAATGACGCCAATTAGAAAAAAAAACTATGTATAACACTCTTCACATTTTTGTGTGACAAGAAGATCGCACTGCGAGAAGAAGGGCTTTTTAAGCCATACACTGTTTACTCAAAACAGATTTATCAAGGTGCATGGACATACGGACATTGTAATGAAACAAAAAGAAAATAGCTGGAAAAATTGTGTTCAAGCGAATGGCAGGCATGTGCATACGCATTAATGAGGTCACGGTTATGAAGTTACATGTTTCTCTTTGTGACAGAACGTCAATCTTGAAATTCTTTCCCGTAGTATTTTTCCAGTGATTAAAAATAGCCGAAACGAAGAAATTACAATAGAGTTATTAGTTTTTCAGCTTGTGAGTGTGTCATCGTTTTTTTTTCTGCATCTGTGTTTGTTGCCATAAAGGGGCTTCGTGATGGATCAGCCAACGCTCATGTCAGACTGTCGCTTAGCGCGCGACGTGTCACTGGATTCCAATCGCACACGTGTTTAAAGGTATGAAGCCTGTAGTTGCATTAATAGGCGACTCCTTAGCACTGTCGTTTTTGCAGTGGATATCACTGTTGTGATGCGTTGCCATGTTAATAACTATATCTCTCGATGTGCGCTCGGCCACATGTCGAATACACTTAGGAATGAAAAATAAACAGATGCATTTCAGAGGATTCTTATTTCGGCGACAGACTGAATGTGACTTTTTATTTCAGATATGCAAAGCCTGGTATCACTAATCTCCTTGTCCCACGGGCTCCCAGAAACTCTATTTTAACTTTTTTTAGGCAAGACTACATAGTGCTAAAGACAGAACGGTGCCCAAAATTACAGACATGTCAGAATGACAGAGCAAATGACAATCGTTTAACTCTCTCGTCTTTGCGTTGAAGGACATGTGGTTTTTATGTCTCGTTTACGCCAAGGGAGCTCAAGGACCTTCATTATTGCGAGAAGCGGGAACTGTTGTCACCACTAAGCTGCATTTACGAGCAAAGTCATGTACCTGTTTCCACACTAAAGATATCAATAAATTTCATCAATATTCCGGCGTCTTTTGTTGCATAATTTATTTACGACGTTCATATAACAATAGAGTCCTCCGCATGAGTGTGCCTGTATCCTCCGCATCAGGCCTCGAGAATAGTCGTTTTGGTGCCATTTCAAATAGATGCGTTGTGTCGATATGTGTGGCGATTTATTGCCGCGTTTACGTCGATCATTCTTATTCTGTTCTTCATGCGGTGCTCTTCATTCTGCTTCAACATTATCCGACGCCATAGCAGTGAGCATTCCCGGTTTTACATAATCCCCGGCAATAGTACCGATAGTACCTGCGAACATTTGTGGGGTTCGCCAGCAGCAAGAGCTTCATGCTCTTAACTTGAAAGCTATGTCCGTCCGATGATGCAAAGATGCCGTGATTGCGGAAGCAGCGCAGTTCCAAAAAAGAATCCATGACTACTTACAGGGGGTTCTAGAGCCCACGCGCTTTCTTGAAAAGCAAACGTTATAACTGTTGCTGGCATCCCTGTTAACATTGCTACCAACATGCGCACAGAGACACGTTTTCGTAATAAAACCCGACAGCTTTTTTTAGGTTGTGATAAATAATGAATGTGATATTCGTAACCAGGATTTATGGCGTCTTCATCTCAATTGGACTCGATGTGTTAGGAGCTTGCATAGGCCCAGTAGCTTGTTGCTTTTCTCCAAAGCTCATAAATGTGCCATTGTGGGATCAGTGGCAATGATTCCGCAGAGAACGCGGCTCGCACATCGCACCAAGAAGAACACACCCTTCCGATTCCTTTGTCAAGGACCGACGCTGCAAAGCAACTTCGTCACCTGGCACGTAGTCTGAGTCTGCAGGAGTGGATCACCCCAAGCATAAGACATACGAGACTACACCAAATAAACCCTAGACTGGAACTTCGACCTCCATCCGGACTTCGTCGACGTGAAGCTTCACTTCTTTGTCACCTTTGGTTGGGGGTTGCCTTCACAAAAGCATATAGAACCCTCATTGGATTGACCGACAATGCGGAATGCGACGTCTGCTGCACCAAAGAAGACATCGACCGTCTGACATGCCATTGCCCTCGATTTGCCTCTGAAAGACAGAAGCTTTCGGACGCATTGCGACGATTGGACGATCGGCCACTCTTTGTGCAGATGCTACTGGAACACCGTCATCGCCTTTCGTCGGCTCAAAAAGCAGTGAAAGCTGCCTTGTGCTTTTTGAGGACTACAGGCCTATGTGACCACCTTTAACTTTTGTGTAGTGCCACCGCTGTATACGCGCCAGCCGATTGACTGACAATCCTCCTTTTTTTTTCTCTCTATCTTTCTCTTCTCTTTCCTCTCTCTCGCGCATCTTTATGCCCCCTTCCTATTCCCCCAGCGTAGGGTAGCAAACCAGGCATGTGCCTGGTTAACCTCCCTGCCTTCCCTCTTGTTGTTTATCCCCCCCCCCTCCAAAATGTGCCGTGGGACATAGCCCCACTTCCGTCGCCATCGAATTTTGTGGGGAATTATAAAATTACTCTGTGCATTCAGGTGCTCACTTCACACTATAGAAAAAAAACACAATTTTAGCATTCTATCACTTCCAGATTGTATAACAGTAGACATATTACTCGAAATACAATCTAGTCAAGCAGTTACAAGAAAAATGCTAATGTCTTATTCTCCTTGTATATCGTAGGAAGTCAGGAGGTCAGGTCATTTGTTTCTTTTCTTGAAAACAAATTTATCAGTGGTCTTATGCAAAGGTTCTAGTGAGTTTCTGTCACCGGGACTCGGCAGCACCGCAGCGTTGTTTACAATATAAGCATTGAAAACACGTACATCAGGTTATTGGTGCCTGTAGCAAAGGACAGCCAGTTGCGTGAAAAAATTTCGGAAAATTGACACTGCACACATTTGATTTGTCATTGATGTTTATTTCGACATGCTTACGCTCTCATGCGACATAGGTATTAAGATTCAGAGCTTAATGAGGAAGCTGTTTGTGGAGTACCGGCATTTTCCCGATTCGCATTCACCAATATGGTAGGTTCTTCTTTTTTTAAACCAGCCGAAGGTGTCCCGAGTGTAATGACGCTGTGAAAACAAAAAAAGGAGCAAATTACTCGCACGGTTTGACAGCTTTTCACTTTGCCTGTATATGTTATACGTAATAAGTGTTTAGTGGGGTGCATGCACGTTTCTGTTGTGTCATACTTGAAGGTATCTGTAGTGGTTACGAAAGCACTGAAAAGTTTGACTTAGGAATACTTGTGCCACCTCGCTTATTTCAGATTCTTTGGGGGCATACTAAACAGAAAGACACAACCTGTCTAATGCTATTCGCCGTGTGTTTACGGCTTTTTTTTCAGGGCCCTAGAGTGGTGAGAGTTAGATATATGATTTAATGGTAAGTACCTTGGTCACCTACAATTCCCTGATGACATTGATTGATATGTGGAGTTTAACGTCCCAACACCACCATATAATTATGAGAGACGTCATAGTGGAGGGCGCCGGACATTTCGACCAGCTGGGGTTCCTTTACGTCCAACCAAATCTGAGCACACAGGCCTACAACATTTCCGCCTCCATCGGGAATGTAGCCACCACAGCCTGGATTTGATCCCGCGACCTGCGGGTCAGCAGCCCAGTACCTTAGCCACTAGATCACCTCAGCGGTGCTCACTGATAATATTGCGTTGATGAATACCTCCGGGGCAAACTACAGCTCGTGATTACTGAGTTGGACAGGGAAAGCAAAAGAGTATGTATGAAAATTATGGACAAAACAAGATTAATGTGCAACAGTCTCGGCAGAGAACAGTGCTTTGTAGGATGCCTCAATGCGCGCGTTTTCGAAAGAGCGGACATCAAGTGTGATTTGCGAAAAGTGGCGACACTCTGCAAGTTATAAAGAGATCGAAGGCCTCCTGAAGAAGTATTCATTTGTCCCTGTGTTCAGCTACCCTGTTCCATTTTTTTTAACTACTGATAGCGGGCTGCAATCATTAGGTTAAGCAGCGCTTTCAAATATATTTCTCGAGCATTATTCATAAAAGTAACGCAACATTTTTCTAGAGTATATCTGGGGCCCACACTTGGTTGTTATGTGACATGGACTATCGTAGCCGCAGGTAACCAACTTACGAAACATAACGTCCCATTGAGACGGTCTTGTGTCTCATAGCGTCTGCACGTTGCCCTGCAGCCACCAGCCACAATGAGCTGAAATAAATAATTAGTTTGTGGTTGAAGTCTGAGTATAATGTTAACGGAAATATGTTTACGTTGATCGGCCACACTCAATCTCCGCTACGGCGTTTCGAGCGAGCGCTTAGCACACGTGGTGTTTACTTGCAACACAGAAATTTTAATATTGTATTCATCTTGAAATATTAACGTTGAATGCCTTTACCCCTCATACTGATCGTTAATATATCTCAACTGTGCATTATAGTAATATTACTTCCGATTATTCATTCTTAAGCTTATTATCGTTTCGACGTGTTTCATTCCTGTTTGCGTGCAAACAGACGTACTCATGAATATATCACTGGCTACTCCGCTCTACTCATTTTGTAATAAAATTTAACACTTTATGTTATATCGCAACCAAGACGACGACAATAAAGACACAAGCAAGTTTGCCACAATGGAGCCCATACAGTGTAATTTTTTCCCTGCTCTTCTTTCATAGTTTACCGCCCGTATATACCGCACATATAAATACCCAAGTTGTAATGTCCTTGGTGAGTCTATAACGTATGCGACCATAGTTTAAGCATCGAGTAGCTTTGGCTGTGAGATTAATTTAGCTGAAAAGCCAAAATTCACATTTAAATTACCGTTGCAAGACAATTTAACGACTTTTCTATGTACGGTTCCTGAATATGTATAAACTGATAAGCGAAATTTTCTATTTATTTTGTGTTGCGGAGTGGTTTGATATCCTATTTGTACGTTTCGTTCATTTCGTACGTCACGCCATGTTCGTGCGACAAGTATTGAAGTGTGAATTTAAATTTCTTCAATGTGCTGTGGCATCTTCTTGTAATCCTTAAATTTTCCAAATTTTCTCTGCTTCTTCCTTTCACTGTAAAGGCAGGACAACAAGCGAGCACGGAGGTAAGTAAGAAAGGAAAGAAACTGAAAGCCAAATATTACTTTAAGCAACATCACCCACGTAACATTACTACAACCAGCTATAGATGAACCGTAAGCGATGAGACATCAATGCAACATAGCTCCCTGATGTACTGCATTATTTCGCGCTGCTCAGACATGTATTAACTGAATGTGCTTATATTTGAGGAACCGATGTTTTAGATGAAGTGTGTTTTTCAGTATTCTGACAATTTTCATCCCTTTATAGCGGACAAAAATTATAATGACTACCGCAGTCGTGAATTTTCTCAACCTGTGCTTCCGAACGCTACTGCATCAGTGCAAGAAGGATGGCTTGTCAGATAAAACAAAGAAGCTCCCAAAGCCTCACCTCAGGAGTCACCTGCACGTCCTCTACTTTGCATTCTCGTTTCTTGAAAATTTGTTTAGGAGGCCTCTCAGGAGCTAAAAATAGGAGTAAAGAAACAAACATTTTGTACTCTTCAAAGACTGCCTAACAAAGTTTTCATCATTCCAGCGACACCGCTGAAATGTTTTAAACTTCGAGAAAGGCTCTTTACGTTCGTATAAAGGCCTATATGAGGGTATATTATCGCTCAGTTGAAGAGCAATGTTTTGTTATCCTGCGACCAAAATTTCGTCAATTTACACTGCACTTCTTGGCGTTCAGTAAGCTACATTCAGAATCTGCTTAGGCTATACAGTAAAAGCTCGTTATTTTAGTTCAAAGGGGATCCTAAAAAAGTGTCCCTAATAAGTGGAGCTTCAGTGAGTAGCTGGGCGCTAAAAAATGCAAATATTGTACCGCATTGCGCGGGCAGAACCGAAAGAGATCGCCTCAGGTCTCGTTATTGTGAACTAGGTGGTACTTCACGTTTTTTAAAGATGAACTTCTAGATTATGTTACCGAAGTTTTTACCAGTGAACATAACTAATTTATTCACCACTACTTTCTCTCATATATATTAATGACCTTCCTGTTAATGTATCATCTAATATATGCCTTTTTGCAGATGACTGTGTTCTGCATTGTCCAATAACAAATTCCATAGATTATTCCTCTCTTTAGGATGACCTCCTTAAAATCCAGGCGTGGTGCAACCAATGGTACATGTCCCTCAACGTCAGTAAGTGCTCCCACGTGTCCTTTCATCGTCGCCGTAATTATGTAGCCCCTTCTTACTCTCTCAACAACAACACATTAACCCAATGCAAGACATTAAAATACCTAAGAGTATATATATCTAGTGATCTGTCATGGGCCCATTATATTCTCCAACTAACTAATTCCTGCAATCGTCTATTAGGTTATCTACGCTGCAACCTATCGTGAGCATCCCTTTCCATCGAACTACTTGCATATAAAACGTTTATTCAATCCAAACTAGAATATGCCTCTGCTATTTATGAAAATCACCAAGTTAATATAAACAATTCCTTCGAATCAGTCCAGAACCGCGCTGCCAGGTTCATCCTTTCCGATTATTCTTGCAGGTCAAGTGTATCCGCCCTAAAATCCCAGCTCTGCCTCCCCTCACTTTCTTCTCGCTGCAAGACTGCTCATTTAATATTTTTTTAGGTTTTTCCAATCGCTGCCGCCAGGAAACCAATTCATCATTCCTGCACATCGTTCCTCTCACTACTCGCACCAAAATGCTATGTATCGACCACGTGCACATACGGCCACCTGCCAACGTTCATTTTTCCTGCATACTGCCGGAGAATGGAATGCCCTTCCATTCGATATCACCCTCATCACCGACATTGCTCAATTCAAAGCTGCCATTGAAGACCATCTTTCAAGTCATGCAACCTAACCTGACCCGTCAGTTTTTTTTTCGTTCGCCCCCCCCCTCATGTAATGTCCCATGTGAGACTTTTGAGGTATTATGAATAAATATATAAATGAATAAATAAATTATCTGATTACATGCTGCATGTATGCAGGTGAGCAATGAGCCCTAATGTCGAAATGTATGATGGTTTTATACTCTAAAACACCTTTTTTACATGGTAGAGTTAACGCAGTCAACCTTAATGAAGGTAAGCGGAGTCTCCCCTACGTGCTCCCTGTACCAAGATAAGGTTATTGGTGCAATAAAGCTCAGTAATTGTTTATTTGCTTGTGCTTCTCGAAGGCGAATCCATGAGCGTCGTTTGTAGCTTGCTCAAGAGCTCCAGAGTAGCATCCAAAATTTTATCTGCTGAGAAATTTGGCTGTTTCTTAGCTTTATATTTTGTTTTAGTTTGCCTTCGCGACATACTGCGATCACTCTGGGCCAACTTCTGCGTGGAGGGGCGAACACCGTGGGCTACCAGTCTGAATTAACTGTCGTGGACGATAACGTATTCGAAAATTCCAGAAATTCCCCCCGGAAATTTCCCCCCATATAAATAGACACATTTCTACCGGGACAAGGGTGTCAGCTCGAATTAACTGTAAGTTCGAAATGATCAAATTTCTAGTGAGCAGAATTATCCAAAACCACGGATTTTTGCTTTAAAGCATGCTTACAGGGCTTCAAAGAAAGTCGCACTATTGAATCTGCGCGCATTACTCTATTCCTTAGTACCAATTATTTATCTAGTATTGAACGACCCCACAAATACTGCTTAAAAGATAGCCAATGCCCTTTCATGTAAATCGAACACTCAAATCATTCCAACTATAAGCTTGTGTAAAAAGATATGTTTTGTTTTCATTTTTTTCTTTCTACATACAACCGTACTTACGTCGTTCTTGACATGTGCCTCCAAAGCAGGCCCCTACCCTTTGCAACATGTAACCTTCAAAACCAAACGAGTATGCCAACTGAAAAGAAGTGTATCAGCGCAGTGAGCAGTAACGAATGCTGTTGATGTTTTCATATAATTAGGCAATCAGTAATCCTCTCTCTTTAATAGCAGAAATTGTCATCCTGGTTACCCATAACTGAGCGCTAATCAATTAATTTAAAAGTTTTGATTCATCCGTTATGGGCACAAATAGCTGTACACTGTAGCAGTAGCAGAGTATGGAACACAAAGCAAACTACGGGTTTCGAATTGAGGACGGCAGCTTCAGAGTTCTCATAATGCAGTTATATACGTTGGATAATTTCCTTTCAGTCACGCAATGCAAAACAAATTCTCTGCACTAGAGCAACAGACACACTGGAAGCAAAAGTTGGCCTGTAACTACACAATTTACGCTGTAATGAAAATGAAGGAACAGTACCTTTGGCAGCATTTTTAATGTAGCCAAATGCACTGGTATTGGCATGCCATGATCAATAATGGATCATCATAACGTCAATTACATACCTAAGCCTTACAAATTGGTTCTCGTACCAATGATAAAATTGCTGGTGCCACCAAAAATTTTATAAAGGAATAAAGTACCCTTGCAGGAGTTTTACACTACGTGACTAATCTCCACTTTCGACCTGATTCCTCTTTACCTTCTTTGTTATTAATTCTTCATCGGGGTCTTTCTTATTGGTCAATGCCCACTATACTACAACGGCATGACTTAGAGCTTTTCAGCACTCTATGCTTTTCAATAGCTTTTTATAACTGCACAAATTCATGTGGGCGATGTCCACAGTGCTCGTGTATCTCGTAATGCAACAGCAGCCACAATTAAAGCTCATTCCTTGACAACTGTTTGTGTTTTAAATGGTAGAAATTGGAAGAGTAAACTATTCCTATACTAAATCCCCCTTGCCATTACTTATTCGGTATCGGCAGCAATTTCTTAGCACATGCTAAATTCCCTAGCCTTCACTGTGACGTCAAAAACTGTCATAACTCACGGCGACAAAAGAAAGGTAAAGACGACATCGCGGGCAGCTTGTGCCATCGCGCTTTTCTGTTTTTTGTTCCTTTAATGCAGCAGAACCCACCTGTTGCTCATAACTTCGTAGCGTACTTGAAGACAGAAAACTTACCGCACACAGAGTTCCATTGGCCACTGGCTCACCACGACAGAGGCAACTTTTGGATACTCGGGGCTATAAAGACAAAAATATTTCACTGATCGAGAACACGACTTGAATCAGCTTTAAGCATTCTAAAAAAATTTGACCACAGTGCGGTTCCTCTAGCTCGTAGGAAAAGTAAATCAATAGTTACAGTATACAGGGAAGTGACCTCCTCAAAAAAAATAATGTCAAATAAATCGTCTCAAAGTATTGCTAGTATCTGAAATAGTCGCCCTTACCGGCACTGTTTTCTCATTATAGATCTTCATTGCACACGGATCATCCTCACCTGTTATGGAATCACACGTAGGATTAGTTACATCAAACCTAATTCGTCAGAACTGTAGACAATTTTCACAATTTTAGCTTCTTATATTTGAGGGACTTTTGCTTGCCATCAGCAGTATGTTCAAATAGGTCCATCACTAGTGTGCGCTTAGTATTGTCTGAGTTGTAGGATTACTAATAGGTGGTTACATAATATTCTTTAATAATGAGTGATCTACCAGGTATCTACCGTCCGAATTACACAAATGCGTGGTTAAGCAGAGCAGCACCATTTAAATTTACTTTTGTGTGCATGATCTCTTGTGCCATGGTTTATAAATATTTTTATAGGTCATACCAATGACGCCATGGTCTGAGCTAGCAAAAGGTAATCTCAGAACAATAATATTCAAGTAATTCCGCGCAGCAGATGACAATGAATTTTGTGTCTTGCGTTTGTTCATTTTAATTTATAATTAGTAAGCTTTACTTTCAATTAATGCGTGCCAAAATCAACAACAATATGGTTGGCACACTTACGAATCCGTGTACAGGTGCCTTTCTTACAAATACCAACTTCGTTTCTTTTCGTGATTGGTGTCTTGCGTATCTGTAACGAACAGTGAGCTTGAAGGGTTAAACATTGAAATAGAGGCGTCTACCTCAGTAGTAGATTCACCAACAGATGAACTTACCAAGCACGTAAGTCCGTACGGGCGATCTCGTTTAGTGAGGTCCGGGCACTTATACTTGCAGCTTTCCACGATATGCTACGGAAAAAAAAAGAAAATAGTTCACATTTGCCAAGGTTAACGCAGAATAAACTTTTATTGTTACGAGCTAGGTCGAGAACATGATGTATAGCACTTGGCGCAACCACTGCTAACCTGGAACTATTTCCCTCTTTCGCGTGCTATAGCGTGTACACGGGAAAAATTGGCGGGAGGGAAAAAAATCACCTCCATACCGGCAAAGTTATTGATGCTTGAGGAGGTTCCTCGGAGGTTCACGGGACGTTTCTTTGCGAGACCATTTCTGTAAGCAAGTCTGTTAAGAGATTGTGGTTATAAAAGGGAAAAGAAGAGAAAAGTGAGCCCCGTAATTGTCTGCATCTGGTGCGACACCTCAACAGTAGCTTACAAGGAATGGGGGTAAGGAGAGATTAAAAGAATAGGAGTAAAGGTATATATATATAAATATATATATATATATATATATATATATATATATATATATATACATATATATATATATATATATATATATATATATATATATATATACATATACACATATATATATATATATATATATATATATATAGAGAGAGAGAGAGAGAGAGAGAGAGATTAAACACGGTCACAGGAGTCCGAGGATGGGGCACCACTGGCTCGCGAGAGCTCTTGTCAGCAACAGGAGAAAACAGGATGGCGTAGGGCTAATCCAGTCGGTCAGAGCTACGTGGTCGTCGTCGTAGGGGACCGGCGACAGGAGGTGGCGTAAGACCAACCCAGTCGGCCAGAACTGTGCTGTCATCGGAGATCGCGAGGGCACAACTGGTCGACACGGAATCCAGCAAGCGAGTCCCCAGTTTGTTAAGAGTAGTTGCATGCTCTGTACGTCGAAGACGGCGTTGTCGGGCACGCTTCACGGTCGGCACTACCCAGTGTTGGCCACGTCAATCGGCACTTCAATCACTTGCCCCTTTATGCCTTACTGCCACTAGTGCGAGTCCAGTGCCTAACGCTCATGTATGTCAGCAGGGGAGCTATGAGGCGTTCTTAAACGAGGTTTAAAGCAGGCAGGTAAGGGGTCTAGGGAGGATATCGGTACTCGTACATAACACTCATCGTAGGAAGTTGTCACGTGTGGCCGTGCCTTTGAAGCGACAATTCTCGTCCTGCCAGCCTGCTTGGCGTTTTTTTTTTCTTTCCTTCCGGCTCGAAGGCGGTGAGTGTTCGCGTGTGGCCAGACCAAACACTACTGACACCCTCTTGTTTTCCTCTCTCTTTCACATTCCTTTCTCTGCACCACTTCGCATTCATCGTGTGATGTTGTTGAGGTGACCTCCTGAGAGAGGGACAGTTTTGGCGCCACACTTTTCTCTTCACTTACCTTTGTTTCGAATCAACTTCGAGGAGGTGAGTGCGGGGACCATCAAAAAGCGACGCTTTGAGTTGCGGTGCCCCACATAGCTAGCACTGTTAGAATCACCGGAAAGGCGACTTTGAGCGCGACCGCAGAAGTGTACAGGCAACACTGGTGTACACGCCACCCGCCGACCTACGACAAGCCACAAGCGAAAGGAGCAAGCTCCTAAAGCAATGCGGAAGACAGACAAGTAAACGAATCATGAGCTTGTCTTTACGTGTGCAAAGAGCTTCTTACTATGGCCAGTTTAGTCCCTCGTTTAATTCCACTTACGGACCGATTCACTTCCTAAAATCCGCGCGCTAGTTGCAGCATAGGCACAACGGCAAACGGCCTTCTCGCTACGGCTGCCTGTTCTGCGTGTCAGTTGGGCTGTGAGGACAGCAGTGTGCGGTCCGTGACAGAACAGAGCGGAACTGAGCTGTTCTTCCCTATAGCGCATGGTCGCTTGCTTTAAGCGGCAGTAGTGTGCAGCCAGGCTCAGAGCATGTGCTCGTGGGTTTAAACTCGCACACCTGATTTGGCATCCGTACCATAAGGTGCGCGGACCGCTCATTCCACTCGTACTTAGGGTTTATTTGGAAATTAACTGAGGTGGCGAATACCCGCGTTGAGTGTGTATATAAGTGCAGTCGCAATAAAATATACATAAGGAAAAAATTTATCTTGAATACGTTATAGGTTATATAATGTAACGAAAGGTACAATCACTAATGTGCCCATGTTTTTCGGAAGCCATGTTTTCAATAAGCATAAGCATATCCCGTTTTCAAACTATTCATAACACCTAAAGGTGTACTTCAAGACATTTGAGCATAGGCAGAAAACGTTTCCGATATGTTGTTACTGCTTTTGAGAACATGTGAGCAAAATATTACTGCTCTGTGCAGAGCAAATATCTGCAGCTTAACTTAAAAAAATCACAGCATATCCCCAAAGTGAATCATGATGAGTGGGGCGAAGCGTCCGTCAGCCCGTCCGTGCCTCCGTCCATCCATTCGTTCTTGCTTCCGTCCATCCACGCGACCATCCGTGCGTCAATCCATGTGTCCATCCATCTCTCCATGCGTCCGTCCGTGAGTCCGTTCATTCATCTGTCTTCTGTTCGTGCGTCCTTCCTTACGTCCGCTCGTCTATCCATCCGTCTGCTAGTCTGTCTGGCCGTCCATCCGTGCCTTCATCTAGTGAACACTCGAAGTACCGCCATCTCCCATCTCGCATCCCCTGTGGCACATACTCGTTCTAGAGCGGGTATGTGCCACCGGTGGTTGCTTACTACATACATACATACATACATACATACATACATACATACATACATACATACATACATACATACATACATACATACATACATACATACATACATACATACATACATACATACATACATACATACATACATACATACATACATACATACATACATACATACATACAAGGGATGGACAGACCCATGCCTTAAGGAGCTTCCCCCCTAAAATACGCCAAGATTATTCACGGCCCTCTCGGCTAACTTCGTAACCGGAGAGAGCCACTGCGTAGAGGGGGGTTCTCAACATGACTGCCTTCGTCATAGAGTTTCATACAATAGTACCTAGAGAGACATCTGGCACTGTGATCGTGTGCCCTCACGAAAATTGTGGGAAGTACAGGCTTCGGATTGGATCGCGTTAGCCAGTGAACTGTGTACTGACTTTTTCCTACAGTTTCAGTTCCATTTCTCGCGTAAAGTGGGTAGTGGGGTGGGTGCAAAGGACTGAAGCTGCGCCTTTGTTGTTCAAAGAAGCTGAAAACTGCTAGACCTCTCGATTTACTGCAACGCTGGAGTTGTGTTTAACAGTTTGAGCAAAGCGTCGTTCACTCACCGCTCCGCATAAATGTAACGTCCCATGCCAGGGCAGAGTATTACATTCGAGTTCACGTTTGTTGTCAGTGCGTCTTGCCAAAACTCGTTGAAATAAACTGCAAAACGACGGCAACGCGAAGTAGACACACCATTACGCTCTTCTGACTCGACTTCACAACAAAATAAGAGGTGCGTTGGGGCAGACCACTTGAACAGACGCACCTGGCATCCCAGCAGACGAAACGTTAAGTGTTCCTCACTTAATATTGAACTGTTATTTCCATAAATAGATATTGCATGTTCTCGGGGGCAAAACAATTTTTTGTGTTTAAGCGTTGTAAACAATAATTCATTTCATCTTGATGTTTACCATTAATTTCTTCTTGATGTTTAATCTGGATCGCAATGGCAGAGCATTGCATACTCTGGTGGTTAAATTTGTGCCGGTTTCACTTCTACCACCTAGTCACACAAACCTTTTGAATTAAAGTTTGCGTGCAAAAAAAGGAAGCAAGCTTCAGTTAGACATAGCTTCATATCACTTTGTTTTACACTCAGCAAACAAGCGTTGCGAATATTAAGAACGTGGTTCATCAGAAGCAGATTTGAAGCCTTTGCTTCCCCTAATTCACATTGGGGTACAAACGCCGCTGAAAGAGCCAACGTTGACACTAGCGCCATATTCTCCTCTAAGTATTAATGTAGGAATCTCTATGCCCTTCGTCTTGCAATATTTTTTCTTATTTTCTTATTAAGTATGTTCATGAGTTGGAAGAACATAACTGATTTTATGCATTTTTTTCATAAGCCCCTTCTCCCCAGTCGGTCGCCGTTTGTCGAAGCATAACCGTTAAGCAAAACTATGTGTTTTATAATGAACATACAGATTGTAGTTACAGAGATCAACATGTTCGTATCCTGACGTTAGATTTCGCTTTTGTTCGCATGGCTCCCCGTCTCCTAATTCTTCGTTGTATAAGCCGTGCGTAATAACGTAACAATGAATAGATACAAAATAGTACAAGCGAACGCCGTTACAAGCCGAATCCCCTTCAGAAACGACCCATGTAGCATACTGAAATGAACAGCTTTCACATGGCAACAATGTCAAACACAGTATCATTGTGTTTAAACAGTTTGCCTCCCCCTTCTCTATTCCCCGGCTCCGAGCTACTTCACTGCACAGGCATTTGTGGGAATAATTTACACTACCTCTGCCCGCCAGTTAAAATTAGTTTTGGACCACGTATACGTCAATGAGGGAAGAACCCCGTCATCGGTATTTTATTTAGTGCCGCGAAATGACCATCGCTAATAGGCATGTGGTATTTTTAGAGTTCAGTAAATGAAAATACGTACTTCCTAATTTAGAAACACCGAAAACGTAACTTATGCTTAAGGTGGCACGTGGGGTATTCCACTCATTTAATTTGAAATATTAGAACCTGAATGGAATACTTGTTTCCCAGTGAGCCCAGTTTTTACGATGCTTCCCGACGCAATCACCAGATTTTTGCAGAACTATATTGCTTCACGAGCTGCAGCCGCCAATGCCAGCGCCGCGCTTCTGGTTACACCGAAACTATTTAAACGCGTTAAATAACGAAAAAAAGAACGCGAAAAAAATTCACGAAGTCATGAACCGCGCTTATGTAGCCTTACGCGTGTCATCCACTTCCGTGCAAGCTCCTGCGCAATCGTCCGGATAAATGAAGGAACAAAAGTGCTCGGATCTCTGCAACAAATGCCTGGATCCCGTCCAGATTTGAAATACTGTGTATAGCTTTGTGGTGAGCTATTCCTGAGACTCTCCACTATCATCGTTTCGTCACTCGATCATTGCTTGTAAAAGTGTCTAAGCGATTCCTTGAACTTCTACGAGTCAAGTGTAATGTGACTTCCTTACGCCGTACTTGCTGAAGCGCTCGCTGTCATGACACAAGCCGTCGATGGTATGCCAGGTCGATGCTGCAGAGAAGAAAGTGCGTGATGGAAGAGTGAATACCTCACAAAGCAACTATATCACGCTACGAATGCTTGACAAAGCGCAGAGACCCGATACCAGAATGGTGGCATATTCCTTGGATGCAAGTCCCAGTAAGGGTCACTACTGGCTCCCCAGTTACGCTTGCCGAGTACCACTCCATCTGCAAGCATAGGCAAAATTTTCCATTCATGTCTTATTCTTTCACTTATTGTTTTTACAGTCCCGACGTTTCAGTAAAACGATTGGTATGTGCACTTGCGAATAATTGTTCATGATCACTACGCTGTGTCTCTATAAAACTTACGGCTAAAAAGAAGAAAGATGGGAGTGGAAGTTACACTAACACCACACAACTTGAAGATGGTACAAACAAAAAGAGCGTGCCCGAAGCTGTCGCCCGAAGCCCGAAGCTGTCGTATTTTAATCTGAGAAGACTTACGATGAAAAAAGACGATGAATAGCTAGAAGCCAGCACCAACTAACCAAAAAATAAAGAGACTGAAAATTTGTCACTTGACAATGACAGCCAAGCTCTAATATGACTCCATATACTCGCTCGTTGAAATGAAGACGTGAAGAAGCAAAGGCTACCTTCACATTCAAAGACTTCAATGCTTTGGAAATGAACTGAAGAAATCAGCTTGTAACTCTGCGACAAGTACCCCAAAATTATTAGCCAAGTGTGCCCCGAGTTCTTAGTGCATACATAACTGGGTTTATTAGCCCGTTGATGTCACTAACAATCGCCTCATTAACACTGCTTTTCTGTTATAGCGTAGTGTAGTTCAGTACTTTCATAAACAATCGTGACAGAAAAGAATTTCATTCCCTATGCCATTACAATACTCACCACGCATGGTCGTCCGTCATCGATGTCCTTGTTATGCCCTTTATAACAGTAATACTCGCAACCAGCCGCTGCGGTAAGCTATGAATAAACACGAAAACACAGACGCATATATGCTTTCAGAAATAAACGGGTGCAGTTCGTTTTTGCATGGCACTTAAAAGTTTACCGCAATCTATCCTTATGAGTTCTTACAGCATCCACTGAAAGTCGGGCAAGTGTTACCAAGCCACACACTAATACATTTCATGCTTCATTTGTTCAGAGAATTAATGCAGAGATTATCATGATGTACATCCTGCAAGCGCTTTTAATTTTTTTAGTCCAATTTGAGCTCAATACACTACTCGAGCCCGTCACTTTCTACAAAGGTGTTTTTCTTTTGCTACAGTCAGCTTTCTTTAGATTATCCACTGCCTCATACATCCATGCTGATGGTTTCAGGTCTTACATTTGTCTTTCCCGCACTCTAGACTACCATTTCACCTCCTTGCATCCCACGAGTACATCGAGCTATACGGCCATAGTGGGCACTTTCATCAACTTTGTCATGTCTCGAACAGTCATGGATAAATATTTCTGCGACAACGACGAATGCGAATCTGGCAAGATCGGTTTCGCTTCTGCAACCTACAGTTATTGTTGTTATTGATAACATTTGATGCAGATGTATAGTGATGCGTTGGTTTCGTCTACCCGGCGTGTTGCCTTTCCGGTGACGAGAATCGCAACTAAATTTGCTTTTCTGTTACTCTGTCACATGAAACATATTAACAGCAATATTGACAATGTGTAAAGTTTTACGCCCCAAAACCACGATATAAATATGAGAGACTCTTAAGTAGGGCTCTGGAAATTTTGAATTTCTGGTGTTCATGCACTGACATTGTAACTGTACAGAGGCCTCTACCATTTCACCTTCATCGAAATGCGAACGCGACGGCCGGTATCGAACCCGTGACCTCAAGGTTAGCAGCCGAGCACACTAGCCACTTTTCCAGTGAGGCGGACTCACATAAAACAGCCAACTCAGCAGCCATGCCTAATTGCTTTTATATATATATATATAGACGTCCTGCAGGGGTGTGTGCTCTAATTCATTTGATTTGGCGGCTTTCAGAGCTCGCAGTTTACCATACGGTGCAGGACTCGTGAGCTATTGGTTTAGGCAAAAGGAAGGAATCACGACAACATGACTACCTAATGAGGTAAGTCACAGGACATTATATATGTGCACATAAATGTGAACATAAATGTGCACTTATCGAATGTCCTTTGGGAGATGATTTAGACTATAATTAAACGTTTTGAAGAAACCCGACGATTCGAAACCGACTTGGTTCCTTCCTCAGAGGTGACTGCGGAGGCTACGTAGCAGTTGCGTCTTCAAAACACTCGTGGGGTGGATAATGAGCCCCCTCCCCCTCTCTATGTGCACCTCCCCTTGTCATTTATGTGCGTTTGTTGAAAGCCATTGAACAATTAGGACTGTTGCGATATCGCTACGCAGTATCGGCAAGAAGTGGACACTTAAAAGCATATCTGGACATTTTTGAGAAGTAAACACGTGTTTGCGATTACGAAGGCTATCTCCGAGCTATGCCTCACAACCGGTGATCCATAATTGCACACATAGAGGAGTGAAATGTTCACCACCATCTCACAAAAAAAAAAGTCTGACTTTAAGCTCACCTCAGGCGACACGTTAATGCTTGGGGCAATACACGTTGGTCGGGGGTAGGCTTTAAGTGTCTCTGTAAAAAAGGTAAGACTTTAATCTAAATCATCACAGAGATTCCAATTTGGGCCTCAAAAAGTGCATATACAGCGAGAGACACCAAACTGCAGAACATATAATCATTCTGTAATCCGACGAATAGAGTAATATCGCATTATTTACTGATTATTTACTCTTCATTGTATGCACACTCCTAATAAAAAAATATGAAGTTATTTTTTTAAGTATTTAGGTTGGTTCCTACCTGCTACCTCTGGTAATCTTACGTCCACTTCCCAATACGCTTCTATGTCCTTGATGCTGCAGTGTCCTTTATCATTGCAGTATCCTAGAGTAACGTTCACTGCGTTTTCGTCTTTCGTGTAAGTGATGATGTGCTGCACATAGAAAACATCCCCATAAAGTAATATTCCAACATTTTTTTTTTTTCAGATGAAACTGTTGGTGCGACAACCTGCATTGTCGGTGTTTTCTTCTTCCGTGCTTATTCCAATTTGCTTATTCTGTACCTATTTGTTTTCCAATGATCCGTGATACCTAAGTGTGAGAACAAGTGCGTAGACCTGCTAAAGAATTGCTGAAGTATGACTGCCTTTCTTGATTTATTTGTAGTATTTATTTCTACTTTTGATTATGATAATATGTTGTGTTGTTTTACTGTTTTGTTTGCTTTTCAATAACTACCAAATAACCACTGTTATACACAAAGTCCTTTTCTATATTTTATTGTTTATTATTACAATCATGTACACTTACATACTTTATTTTGTTGTACTTTGTCTATAAAGCTGCCATAAAGGACTTTTAGGTACTTTCAAGCTGTTCGGTACAGCTGGTCGCTTGAATTCCCCATCCAATTGTAAAAAAATGTTGAAAACAAAAATTGATTGATTGATAACTCTTGATACTCTTTCTCAGTTGTACGAGGATCAATTTTTTTGTATCACGCTCTTTATCACGAGGTCTTACGCAGGATTACGGTGCTTTCATTATCCCGTTGATTAGTATGGTACACATCAGGGTATAGATCTACAGTCCACCGTTCTACCAACTGAGCTATCGACGGAAGATATCAGGGTATAGATAAGTAGGAACCACTGACTAGCTTCGTTATTGTAGTACCGCTTACGATTTGATAAAATGAGCATATATTTAAATATCAAGCTAGCGGGCGCTCCATGCATTGCGACCTGCAGGCATCGGCAAAAACGACTTAATGATAACAAGAGGTTTTCCACCGTCCGTTTGTAAATAGAGATTTCGCACTTTGCACATTTCACACTCTTGTTTAACATTTTGTATCTTAAATAGGTTGTTCTCCGTTTAGTGAAGCCGTGTCATTGTGTATTTCCGCCATTTTCTATACATTCTAGCACTTTCTGCTGTTCTGTACCGTTTGAGACATTTCAAGTGACTAAGTGTTTTCTACAATATTTGTTCAAAATTCGTCAATGAACTTAGTGCAGAATGTTTGATGGCGCTCAGTTCAGAATTTTATTAGTGTTAAAAACGTGTGGGCTTTTCTGTGTGTTTATCTTTACATAAAAACAAATGATAACTTGCTACGGAATGTGCTCTATAATATACAGGATGTTTAGAGAAATTCGTTCAGTATTCTTTAAAAATAACAGTAAGAAGGTACCTGCGTGCGATTTCCGGCATTCCCTTCCAGTGGCAGAAGCCATCTTCGGATGGGTACGAACATCAATTATTTCAGTGAATATAGAAATAACACAAGCGCCTTTTAATAGCCGGTTGACTCGAATAGGCGAATCCAGGTCCTTCCTTTGAATAGTCCATAGCCGCTTTGAAATTTTCGGAAAGCGGCCACTGGTAATAACCGCAGGGCGATGCAATTCGGCCAATTTGGCTGACGAAACTGAAACCGACACACCACGCAGCACATATACCATTCACTTCAGTAACACACTCTATGACGGTACTGTTTTCCTCGCATCGGGAGAGAAGAATAAGCGAGCGTCGATAAGCAGCCTCGAAGCAAAGTGTCTGAATTGACGGTTGATAACGGTGAGGAAAAGTGCATCGTCACTGAGGGCGTTCTCGAAGCGAATCATAGGTGCGCAGTTTGGTGCGCCGGTTTTGGTTTCTTCAGCTAAATTAGGCTCATTTCCTCACTCCACGGTGATTACCAGTGACTGCTTTTCCAAAATTTGAAGTGGCTATGAACTATTCGTAGCAAGGGCTTGAATTCACCCGTTTGACTCGACCGGCTATCAACACTAGTCAACAAGTTAATTTTGTTAATTTTATAAACACTGCCCTCATTTATGTTCGTGTGCTTCGGAAGGTGCCTTCTGCCACAGAAAAAGCAACACCAACAGTAGCACGCAAATACCTCCTTTCTGGTATTTTTCAAAGAATGTTGGATACATTTATTGAAACACTCTGTATAGACGACGTGAGTAATAAAAACTGATCGTAAACTATGCACCCTAATTTTCGCCTACTAATATTTCATGTAACCAAACCAACTGTGTCAAGTCCTCTTTTTTCTCTTCCTTGTTTGTTTTTGTTTCTGTTCTCCATTTTTCTCATCGCATCAATCGGAAATAACATCCAACTGTTCCTACAGCGAAATGTGCTATACGCTTCGTGAGAGCAATGTCCTGTCAACAGTCCTTTTCGCATTATGATAGTCAGAGAGCTCTCTTTGACTATCGGATTAGTCAACGATGTGAGAGTGGCCTTCTGAGAGCTGTCGAAAGTATTACCGCATGCTCTATGTTGTGCTCTATTACAGACAATGATGCATCTTAAGAAATTTTAGGCGTTAAACAACCCTAACAATTCCAATTGTTGTAATCAACGTTGACGAACACCTTTCAACTTTAGCGTCTTTCTTCGCAACCCCCGCTAAAATGCACAAGTGGGCTCGAATAGGATGCTTTGCATGCTTCAAGGCCTGATGCAAGGATTTATCTACTCTTTTTTATTAACAGTGGTGTTTCTTAGCGAAGCCGTCTCTGTGGAATACGTGTGTTACATATACAAAACTATTCGTTTCTCACAAGCAAGTTTTGATAAGTCTTTTATATAACATGCCGTCTCGTCCCTGAATATCTATAGCATTTAAAAATTGTTAGTGGTAGGAAACATTTTTAAAAAATTCTTGTGATCTGCAGATGTCTCGTTTCAAAGCATATGGCGACGAAAAGCAGTACAGTTAACTTCGAAGAACAATGGCTAGAGATCACTCTTTTGGTAGTCTAAGTGTGACCTGGAATAAAGCCCACTCTAAGGTTCCAGATAAACAGGGCAAAGCTTCACGTAATGTGCTTATTTCTCAATAGGGCAACCCTCCAGGTAAATGACAAGCATATGGTGATGTAATCAGCCCATTTTCATACCGCACAATATCGCTTGCTCCCTGCATTCCTTCCGTCGGTGCACGAGCAGTTGCTCGTGACTTTCTGAAAGAAAAATGACTCTTTTCATTTCATTTTTCATTCATTTATCCTAACGGTCTAACTTGGACATTACATAGAGGGTTGTAATAACTCATATGATCAGCGAAAACGTGTATTAGAAGTAAAAACAGGTAAGTAAAAAGAAAATGATGAAGAGTAATAAAAAATGCCACAGGTACACAGATGAACGTATACATCATCGTTGGGGATTCTATTCGTTATACAAAAATAAACTTATATCATGTGACTACATATGTAGGCATAATAACAATATGGCAAGCAGAAAAAATTTGTGTGAAGAATATTTTGCGCTTAAAGACTTTATTATTTCAACTTTTTGAACGCCTCCTTTAAAGCGTCTTTGAATATTTTGTGATTAGTTATTTCAGCTATATTACGACACAATTCTATTCTCAAATGGCTAGATGCAGGCACAAAAACTGAAATAGGTTTGTACATGCAACACGTTGGTACGTTTGTCGGTGCTTGAATACATTGAAGAAAAGTACACCGACCATGTGAATGTTTTCACAGACTGATCGGTCGACATATAGCGCGGAGCAAGCACTGCAGCGTTTGTGATCCCATCCCTAAAGGGGCTGTGGGCAGCGCGACTCTATTGCGTTGTTTCGTGTACAGCATGTGAAAGTGTGGAAATTCAGGCAGCCTTCATAAGAAGCTGACGTTTTCTAGGGTCGCGCTACTTCGGTAAGCCCACTCTGCAGCGGCTAAAGATTTAGTTTGTTTTGGGACAGTGCACTCAAAGTTCTCTGCTAATTATTGACGACCTGAAAGACGTTGCTCTCATATAAAGTTTCAATGGATTTCATCTCATGTGGGTATAGTATGTTATGAGGCGGTGGACAGACTTGCCCGAAGTGCTTTGAAACTTACACACAACGAAGAAGGCTCCTAGAGACAATCAACAGGTTTTACGAAAAGCTCTCAAGAAGCCTCTATAATCATTATCATTCACACCACAACATTCATGCGTGATAAAAGGGGTATCAAGGTTTTGTACTATTCCTCTGTCGTTCAGTTTACCACGGGACGGCTTTAGGCTCTCCCATAGTCGAGTACTAAGTACTTGAAATCGTTAACCATTTTTTCTAAACACATCATGGTGCTCCCATATGTGAGTTTCATTCTTTTAGCGCGACGGCTCAGTGCTCTCCCATAGTTGATTACGAAGTACTCGAAATCGTTAAACATTTTTTCTAAACGCACAAGGGACTTGAGTTCAGGGGCGGCACACGCTCTCCCATAGTAGAGCACCTAGTGCTCTTAATCATTAACTACTTTTTCTAAACCTATCTAGGGAAGAGGCCTTATTGCTACATCACATCCGGGCAGGATCAGCAAGTACAGCAGCATGACTTCACAAGATCAGACTCTCCGCGATGCCATTGTGTCCGGCTTCCAAGGCCTGTGGTGCTATAGAACACTATTTCCTTAAAGGGACCTTGCAAAACTATTTGAGCATGGTCAGAAAACGCTGCCGAGCGGTAGTAGAGGCACCCGACTAGGAAGCCTTCAAGTGCGCGCGTCTCACAGAGACGCGCGCACATTAAGGCTCCCTACTCCAGAAAACACGCGAGCCAAATATTATAGCACAGCACGCGGCCTGGAATTCACAGTAAATTATCAAAGTCAGCCAAAATTGCTTTCTCTTCTTTTGACAAATCACATTATATACCTAAAGATCACACGTCAACGATCCATCTGTGAGCTATTGGCTGATTTGAACATGGCGCGCTTGCTGATTACAGAGTTCGCCGCTGGAAGCCGCATCTTGTCCACGCATGCCCACGCAATCACACTGAGAGAGCCGCGCATTCGAAGAAAAAAAAAGAAGAAAAAAGTTGGCAGCATATTCACGGAGTGAATGATGGAGAGTGGGGCGAAGAATTCGTCCGTCCATTCGTTCTTGCTTCCGTCCGCCCATGCGTCCGTCTGTGTGACCATCCATGCGTCCATCCACCCGTCCGTGCGTGCGTCTGTTCGCGCGTCCGTCCCTGCGTTCGTCCATGCATCTGCCCCTGCGTTCGTTCATGCGTCCATCCATGCAGCTGTCTGTGTGTCCGTTCGTCCATCTATTCAAAACTCCAATTACCAGCATCTTGCATCTTTTCATCATATATTCCCCATATAGAAGCACCACCATGCAGCGAATCATTGGATCCCCGAAAGCTGTTGTCACGCATCTGGAGCACTAATCGTGGCCTGCGCTCGACTCCCCAACAAAGACATCCTTTCATGGCTTTAGCCCTACATTCACGCCACACCCAACTTGAAGTGGCAAATGAGTTTTGTACGCGAATCGCTGGTGTGTCCGCCTTGTGCGCTGGCACCATTAGGAGTGTTATCCCTGAACCCCGCATCTACAAAATGGACAATCTTTTCACTATAGAAGAACTTGACGCATCTTTGGCGGCTTCCCGACGATCATCTTCACCAGGACCCGATGGCATCACCTACGCCACTCTAGCCAACCTTCAACAGGAGGCAAGGGGACAGTTGTAAAGCTATTACAACCACTCATGGCTGGCGGGGAATGTTCCCCAGGATTGGAAGATAAGTCGACTTGTGCCACTACTCAAAGCAGGAAAGTCACCATTTGATATGACATCATTTCGCCCTGTTGCCCTCGCAAGTTGCGCAGGAAAATTCATGGAAACCATGATACTTACACGCCTAGAATGGTACCTCGAGCGCTACAACGTATACCCAAACTGCACGACGGGTTTTCGGAGAGGTAGGTCATCTCTTGACAACGTGATTGATCTCACAACATTTATCCAGCAACAGAGTAGCCTCAAGCGCATACCACTGGCACTCTTCCTCGACGTCAAAGGGGCTTATGACAACGTAACACATAAAGCCATCCTAGACTCGTTGGAAGCTGTTGGAATCGGTGGTCGGATGTTCCAATGGATCCAGGATTATTTGACGAGAAGGTTCTTTTTTGTACAAACCTCAGATGGACCTACCACCAAATACTATACCTTCCGTGGCGTCCCTCAGGGCGACGTATTAAGTCCCACTTTATTTAACCTCATGATGGTAGGACTTCGTGAAATTTTGCCAAGTAGCATCCTCATATCCATATATGCTGACGATATTTGTCTATGGACTTCGGCTGTAACTCGTCTACAAGTACGTGCAAGAGCCCAGCAGGCTGCCACCCTGACATGCTCATATCTCTGCAAGCAAGGTATTTCCGTCTCAACGGAGAAATGTGCATTGGTTGCGTTTACTCGCAGAGCCATGACACAATAACCCGTTACCATCAATGGACAAAATATTCCATACCAGAAGAACCATCGCTTCCTAGGTGTGATTATTGACAAGGACTTTTCGTGGAGTGCCCACTGCAATTACCTGAAGAGAAGGCTAACTTCCATCGTCCATATAATGCGGTTCCTCTGCGGAAAATCTTGGGGCGCATCGATAAGGTCAATGATGCAGCTATACAGGGCACTGTTTCTGGAATTTTCGCGCTACAGCTTGCCGTTACTGACAAGTACGTGCAAGACGAACATCCGCACTCTCGAAAGTCTGCAAGGACAAGCACTACACGTGTGCTTAGGATTGCCGCGATGCACCTCAACCTACAGGGCAATTATGATCGCAAGAGAGCATCCAATTCAAATATACATCACCACTGACAATTTGAGAGCCCACATAAGACACCTCTGCCGAGTTCCTGGTCCCCATGTTGCAGTGTTGCTACTTCAAAGACCACACGTGATGTTTTCAAAGATTATTTCTGCCCATAGAAAATGCCTTCCTTTTGGCTTCACTCCAGCAACAAGACAAGCGCCACCCCCGTGGTGCCTACAACAACCACAGGTGTGCCTCACTATTCCGGGAATAACGAACAAGAGCCATCATTCAACAGTGGTCCTACGACAGGTGACATTGTCGCTACTCAACGAAAAATACGGCCAGAGGACCCACATTTACACCGATGGATTGGTGTCGGCTGACAGCTCCACAGGTGCTGTTGTCATCCCGGCGTACCAGGTCACTATAAAGCTCAAACTGTCGCATAGGACAACATCCACAGCAGCAGAGCTTGCCGCCTTGCGTGCTGCTATACTTTATATCGCGGAATCCCGACCTCAAAAATGGGCTGTGTTCTGCGACTCCAAGGCATCCCTTCAGAGCTTGCAATCAGCTTTACGACAGAGGGAGCATCAACAACAAGTGAATGAAATAAGAGAAGTGATTCATGAAGATTTATCGAAAGGACATGACTTGGTGTTCCAGTGGTCACCGGGACATTGTGGTATTGTCGGTAATAACCTTGCTAATAATGCTGCCCGATCCACCCACGCGGACGCCCAGACTACCCCAATTCCATTGTCGAGAACCGACGCAGCGTGGGGCCTTCACTCGTTCGCTGACACCATGTCGGAAACTTGGCTGAGTGACCCCAGTGTCAGGAACCGCCGCCTACACAAAGTGAACCCATCGAGAAAGCTTCAAGTTCTATCGCACCTCTCCCGCCAGGATGCAACTTTACTGTGCCGCCTGTGGTTAGGAGTAGCTTTTACAAAGGCGTACTCCTTTCGCATAGGAATGGTGGATAGCTCCCGATGTGAATCGTGCGACACTGACGAGTCAATAGAACATCTACTGTGTTCATGTGAACGTTTTGCGAGCGAACGAAGCTTGCTACGCGAAACGTTAGAGACACTAGACAGTAGGCCTTTTTCCGAAGAGACGATACTTGGCTCATGGCTGTACGCGTCGCTGGCCAGCAAAGCGACGCGGGCATTGCTAAGTTTTCTAAAGACGACCGGACTACGCGACCGCTTATAAGCGTGCAATGGACAAGGTCACATCTACACAAACGTTGCCCTTTACTTCTCTCTCTCTTCTCCTTTAATCCCCTCACCCCTTCCCCCAGTGCAGGGTAGCAAACCGGACGTGCGTCGGGTTGACCTCCCTGCCTTTCCTTTCTTCCCTTCCTTCTCCTCTTCCTCCGCCATGCAGCGGAGATTCCAAGGACTAAACGAGAGGTGACACACGCACACTTTCTTACGGCTTGTGCTTCGATTCTACTTCCCACCTTTAACCACCTCGAGTTCATTGTATATACCAGTTCACTGTATTCGTGGCACTGCAGCCCAACGCTCGCTAAACCTTTCTAAAACCAAGTAGGTTACGCCCATCGAGTATAACGTGGCAACCTTTTCCTGTCAGATAGTGCTCAATGTACACGCCAATGGCTGCTAATGGGAAATAAGACACAGGAGAATTCGGCTTTTACTTTCTTACGGCTTGCGCTTCGTACCTACTTCCCACCTTTATTTAACCACCTCGAGTTCATGGTATATACTAGTTCATTGTATTCATGGCACTGCGGCTCAACGCTCGCTAAACCTTTCTAAATCTAAGGAGGTTACACCCAGCCAGTATATCGTAGCAACCTTTTCCTGGAAGATAGTGCTCAATCTACATGCCAATGGCTGCTAATGAGATTGCAGCTTGCGCGTTAACTTCTGTCTCTCATTCCCCATTAGCAGCTATTGGCATGTACATTGAGCACTATTTTCTATTGTTCAATAACGCTTAGAAGAAGTCTCTCACCAGCACCACCTTGGAGGTCAAAATGTTTTACTTGTTACATACTACAATGGCTACGAGGGACGAATAAGTTCCGCTATGAGGAGCTTCGCCCCTAAAGTGCTCAAGCTCACAAAGCGCGCGTGAAGTTTTTCTGTGGCTTGCCATCCCTGTTTTGAAGAAGCTAGCATTGTTAGACAGTAGCAGATGCCATTGGAGTTAAGTAATCACTCGAAATCACAGTAGGCGTTAGTAGGGTGGGGCTGACGTACAGAGATCATTTATCTGTTGTTTTGGTCCGTAATTTGGCCTTACCGTATGTGCCATAATACTGTTATATCTGTCCGTATGTATTTCATAGTTTTCCGAATAAATTTTCTGTTGGTAATAAGCGCTTGCCCCTGTCTTTCTGTCCGTGTCTAAGTAGTGAGCTCTCAATTCAAAATAGTCATGTATCACCAACTCGCCCAATCAACCATATTGCCATCCCTCCCTGCTTAGCTTCCAGCGCTTTCGTCTGGACGAGGGAAGAGAAAATGCAATTGTAGCATGCCACAAACCTTTGTAACTCCATTCGTACAGGGGTGAATTCTTAAAATTTTTGCGGTGTTGAATTCGTGAAGCAATGAGCTCTTTCAGAGAATTTATTCTATGGTTGCTTGAAAAAATGTTTTGGGGCCCCTTTAAGGGTCGTGAGCTTAAGAGAAAGAACATCAATGATTATTCGAGGAACTACAACGTTTAGACTCGCCACGCGACAGTGTAAGCAATACTGTGTTTCCTTGTAGTCGCTCGCATGTGACTGTCGATGAGTGACCAATATGTTTGGTTGTAGTGTGATGACGTAGGGGTCCAATACTGCATGCGTAATAGCTCACAGGCCGCCAGCTGGTGCAGAGATACGCCGCACTATGTGCGACTATATAAATGCATGCCCGCGCTTCGTTTGAAAAAGAATATTATTTCAATACAATTCGCAAAGAGTAATCCGGGCGGGGCGATTGCATGAAAATTTTGCAAGGCTACATCCGCCGGCAACCTACAACATCTTAAATCCTGAAGTTGGGTTTTATTTGTGAAAAAAATAATTTTGGTCGGTAAGATGTGTGCTTGTGAGAATGCATAAGCTTAATGAAGAATCTGTTGGGAAAAGGTTAACAGGCATGTTTTCTTTCGACTCTGTAATAGAATGAGACTTAGGTCACGCTTTGTTTTCGTGATGATTCATTATTGTGAATACTTACCACTAATGAAACGCGCTGCCTCGTTTTGCAAAGACTCTAATTTGTTAGTAAGATACGTCTGATACGCTCAATAGCGTCAGCACATTGACCGCGTAGAAGCGCAGAATTGACGCCTAACTGTTTAATGCGCCTACAAATGGGTTAGGCATAACCCTGAAAAAAAAAAAGAAATGTATAGCCGTAGAGCTAACCAGTGTCAGTTTGTTACCGAAAAAAAGATAACTAAAAACGTTACTCATTACTGAAACAAAAAAGAACCCGTTACCGCCCTACGTTACCTCCAAAAAGAAAGGTAACGCGTTAGCTTTACCGAAAAAAATAATGAACGTTACCTCTTTTGTTGTTCCGCAGTGTCAAGTTTTAATTAACTTGTTTCCGCTGCAGGAACCCACAATAAGATTTTCAAATCTCAAAGTTATGCTTCCCGTATGGAGTGTAACACGAACAATGATTATACCCAAACGTTAATTGATTAGAAATATATTATGCAGGTTTTAATGTGCTTGACGTCATCAGTGTTATGTGAAAATGCCTGTAGAGTTCTACGCAATGGGATCTGACACTATGGCACACTGTGAAGCCACTTTTCTCAATTTAACATCATACACGACATAAAAATTAATAATACATTTTATCCGCAAAGAGAGCATCCCCGAACAATAAAAAAAATTACTATGATTGGCCTTTACCTGTCCACACAGCACCGCCGGTGGAGATCGTCGACATCAAAATTAGGGGTCTTCTGCTTTCGAAATCACCCGCCGCGCTGCAGTAGGCAATCACGGATGCCTGCGTTTGCTACTTTTGGGGGGCGGGGGTGAAGGGGGACAAGGGAAGGGGGGGGGGGGCATGTGCCCGTTCACGACATGTCCCCCCAAGGAACACAGATATCCTTTGCATACAGTTTCTTAAAATTATTATAGGGGACTGTGGCGCTGCGATCGTTCAGTGACCGTGGGAATGATGGGTAGTACATGGATATACGTAGCCTTCGTACTTGCGGGTGGCAACTCGTACTTGTGGCTTCGTTTATTGCTGAGTTTCGGTTTTGTTTCGAAGGAAAGAACAAACTCTTTTAAACTTTGTGACCTGATTTGAAAAGGTAGGCCTAGAAGAATAAGTTATGAGACTAATTGCTCTTATGTCTGCCTGTAGCTATCGGTAACTTTAGTTGGCCATACCATGAGACAGTGACATTAGTGGACTTTAGTTGAAAAAGAAGTACCAATTAAAGTAGCAAGTAGAATTGTGTTTTTCCACTGCAAGAAAAAATGTTCGAAGTATTGCGTCCTATTCGCATTCTCTTTTTGTTTCTTCTTTTGAAGCTTTCTAAAGACCGGTTGAAGTTCCCTCCTCTTTCCCCTTAGATGAGCCTGAATTCCACAAAAAGCCGATCATAGCATAATTGATCTCCTATTCGTAGACGCGGTGCTTGTGAAATTTGATGCGGTGGTCATTGTTCTCTGCTTAGCGAGTATGCTCCTTCTTCACTGAAACTTGCATTTTATGTTGCCACTTTCTCGTGCGAAACTTCCTTGTCCCCCCCCCCCTCCCCCCGAACGAAGCGTCACAATGAACACGTGATATGGACTGAACAGGCCCATGCGATTTCCCATCGAGCAGCCTGTTTTCAGGACACAGAAAGGCCAGGTGCCAGCGATGCACCTGCCAAAATCATTTTACATGAAAAGCATGTCCGTGTAGTTTCACTTGGCGGATTCTGCATCTTTTTTCAATCTTTGTGTCGTGATCGCCCAACCGTCCCCACAGGGAGTCAGCATGTCTTAGTAAATTTCTAGCCGTGATTTCCGAAAACAAAACCAACTTCATCAGCGCATTCTTTCTCCATGCCTGGCAGGCCAGCAGCTGTCCGACGCTGCATCAGAAGAATTCGTTGGAGCAAGATTTGCAAAAAAACACCTACAAGATGAAAAAAGTAACAAGTAACGTGACACTACGCATCACCGAGAAAGGTTAACGCAAGTACGTTACCCGTTACAGTACAGGAATGGTAACTAGTACGTTACTAAGTTACCGAAACAAGCAACGCATTACCGGTAACGACCTTAGCTGTAACATGTTACCACCATCATTGGAACAGCGTAAGCATGGTGACAGGGAAAAGGGATTATTGGAGAGTGTTAGTTTTCTGTGCAATGTATTCTGAGTCAGTATAATAGTGAGCAAACCCAATGACCGCGTTTCGAGCAAGCAATCTTTCACTGAATTTAAAGAAAAATAGCATCATGAGAGCAATCAGGGCAATAGTATTATAGAAAATATTGTCTGATAATGGTATCAATTATCATCACTATCCAATTCACACATATATAAGATCGTAAAAGGCCCACCCATCCATCTCTATATATCGTTGTCTTGTGCCTGGTGAGTCCCAGTCAGTGGGGATAGCAAGGTGATGCCACACCAGCCCCATGCTCTCCCCCCTAAACTTTTTTTTGCCATGGCATGCAGAGTGAGAGAGACACAGAAAAATAGGGAGAAAGGCGGGGAGGTTAATCAGGGTTGAGCACCGGTAGGTGAAAAATGACCATTTCAAGAGGGAGCCTCCCACCCTCAAAATTAAGGTAGCAGTCCTGCTCCCGAAAAGTTTCTCTCTCTCTCTCTCTCTCTCTCTCTCTCTATATATATATATATATAATATATATATATATATATATATATATATATATATATATATATATATATATATATATATATATATATATATATAAGCGCACACACGCACTCACGAACCTAATAAGAAAACAAAAACGCAAAAACTTCTGCCTACGCTCATTGCGAGACCAGCTTCATTTTCCGTCGTATTCGTTCACCTTTTCAAGTATCAAGCTGCACCACCCCCCAAGCCCTATGCGAGGCATATTTCTTGCGAAAGCATTGTGTTACCTGTTTATATTTTATTCTTATGTTACGGCGCAGGGCATGACATGATAAATAGCTTTCTGGCAGCTGCCACCAGCTCGTAATATGAACAATATCGTAGATCGGTATGCCAATATTGACCTAACGTTGGGTGGCAACAAGACAGCTTACCAATGCCGACCTGCACCGCGTTCCGTTAAATCCGTGAAAGGCATCTTCGTATTCAGTTGTGTTCCGGAGAATGCATGTGCTCCGTTCCTGCAATTTAAAGTTTACAGTTGGGCTAGAGATGCATGGCTGAACACACATCCTTAAAAGAACCTGAGACGTAATTGCGGCGGTCGAAGTTGAGTAATATACATTATAAAATTGTTAGTGTAAGTTTTCAGAAGAAGCGTACAAGATCTAAACGTACTGCTCAGACTCAAATTTGGTATTATATTGCGTATGAAGCAAATGTGGAAGTCGTTTATATAAGACGTGAACAGATTCAATTTGCCCGAAAACTGCGTTTTACAGATTAAGTGGCGCCTTAACTGTGAAAGGCTGTGTAATTCAGGAAGTTCCTAGTGTATACTCCGTGTCATCAGAAACTGCAAAAGTGGGCAATATAATCTTGCGTAATTTTTGTACCTAGATAAGTATATATCAATGACCAAGATTACGAGAACTGTAGCAGTGAACGAATTGCTATTGCTTCCACATCTAAAGTGGTTATCTCTCTGCGCTTATTGTTGTATTTTGTTGATTTCGTTAGCATCCACGTTAGCGACATCAAAGTTTAAGAATTTGTGTATTGTATAGTGTGGTATGCGGGGAAATAAGTGGATATTTTAGGACGTTTTGTCGTTTCAAAATCTATGTGTAGTTTTGTGACACCTTCTAGAAGAGGAGAACCTTTTTTATTTATGCTTCCTACAAATTTGGTGCGAATCTATTTCCAACTAAAATCCAGCAATTCCCTCGCAAATCCCAGAGAACTGCCACTTTGTATATCAGCCATTGTTAAACAAGTGATGCTGGCGATCAATTTACATCTTTACAGTTGACTCACCAGTGCCCTAATTGTCGTGGTGTATTGGTCACATGGCCTCTCTGCTCCCACCGTCACGGAAAGCACTGCGTTACATAGCATATTTTTTTCTTTATTTTTGAGTGTGTAGCACGTTGATAATAATGGTTGGGTGCACTTACGGAATAGAGGAAAAGCTATCCACTTCATCTGACTTGCACTTGCCGATGAAATGCGGGCGTAATTCCTGCAATTTTCAGTGAAAGCATCGCAACGTCAAATAATTTTTTTACGTTTTTATATATATATCTATTTACGTTTTATATATATCCATGATTTACCATGGATATATCCATGGTAAACCATGGATATATCCCATGGTTTACCGACTAGTTTTTTTTACACTAGTCGGTACACCATGGGATATATCCACGGTAATGCTAAGAGGCCCTCACTGTTCTTAACGCCACTGTTTTGGTTTTATTCTGTGTCATTGTGAAAAAAAATGGCAGCATATGCACGGGGTGAATGATTGATAGTGGGGCGAAGAATCCGTCCGTCCGTTCGTCCTTGCTTTCGTCCATCCGTGCGTGCGTCTGTGTGGCCATCCGTGCGTCCATCCGCCCGTCAATGCGTGCGTCTGTTCGTGCGTCCACACGTTCATCTGTGTGTCCGTCTCTACTTTCACCCATGCATCCGCTCCTGCGTCCATACATCCGTCCGCGCAGCCGTTCGTGCGTCCGTCCGTGCATCTGTATGTCTGTCCGTTCGTCCACTTGTTCAACACTCCAAAAACCCCCGTCTCGCATCTTTTCATCATATATTCCTCATATAGAAGCACCGCCATTCAGCGGACATTCCATGGACTGAACGAGAGGAGGCACACGCACACTTTCTTACGGCTTGCGCTTCGTGTCTACTTCCCACCTTTAACCACCTCGAGTTCATGACATATACTAGTTCACTGTATTCATGGCACTGCGGCCCAACGCTCGCTCAACCTTTCTAAAACCTAGGAGGTTACGCCCAGCGAGTATAACGTAGCAACTCTTTCTTGTCTTCTGTGCGTTGTTGAACAACAAAAAGTTTGCAGCGTGCACGTTAACTAAAAGCCGAATTCTCCTGTCACTTATTCACCCTTAGCAGCCATTGGCATGTACATTGAGCACTATCTTTTATTGTTCAACAACGCACCGAAGAAATCTGTCACCAGCCTCACCTAGGAGGTCAAAATGTTATACTTGTTACACACTACTACAATGGCTACGAGGGACAAACAGATGCCGCTATAAGGAGATTCGACCCTAAAACAACTTATTTACTCAATCTCATATTTCTGTCATTCGGCGGCAATAAGTTCCTTACCAGGTTCATGGGAATGAAAATCTGCACCCGGCTTTTACAGTCGCTTCGCTTCCCGATTCCTCTATCAAGGACTGATGCAGCAAGACAACTTTACTTGCTAGCTCGAGATCTTACACGCACGTTCTGGTATTCTACCAGCTTCCTAAAGTATCACTTATATGAACTGGATCCTTCGCCCAAGATGCAGCTACCATCGAAACTTTTCCGTTTCTATGACACACTGTTATGCCGCCTTTAGTTGGGTGTTGCACTTGCCAAGGTGCACTCATTTCGCATCGGTATGGCAGACACTTCTACATGCGACTCCTGCGGAGCTGAAGATACCATCGAACAGGTCTTGTGCAGCTGCGCTTGCTACAATACTAAGCGATGCCAGTTCCAGGTAGTATTGAACCAACTGAACTCTAGACCATTCTGTGTGCAGAAGATTCTGGGACCTTGGGCATCCACCCCAATCGAGCAGAAAGCGATTAAAGTGCTCCTACATTACTTGAAGACAACAAACCTGAGTGACGGCCTGTAGACTGCGTGAACTCCCTTATTTGAGTATGCTTGCGATTGTGTGCGTTAACTAAAAGCTGAATTTTCCTTTCTCTCATTCCCCACTAGCAGTCAATTGGCATGTACATTGAGCACCATCTGACAAGAAAGCGTTCCTACGTTATACTCGCTAGGCATAACCTCCTTGGTTTTAGAAAAGTTTAGCGAGCATTGGGCCACAGTGACATGAATAAAGTGAACTAGTATATACCATGAACTCGAGGTGGTTGAAGGTGGGTAGTAGACACGAAGTGCAAGCCGTAAGAAAGTGGGCGTGTGCCACCTCTCGTTTTGTCCTGGAAATTTCCGCTGGATGGCGGTGCTTCTATATGCGGAATATATGATGAAAAGATGCGAGATGGTGGTACTTGGAGTGTTGACTAAATGGACGAACGGACACACAGACAGATTCATGGATGAACGCATGGATGGACGCATGGATGGACGTGCGGTTGCACGAACAGACGCACGCATGGACGATCACACAGACGGACTCGTGGACGGGCGGAAGCAAGACCGAATGGACGGACGGATGCTTCACTCCACTCTCCATCCTTCACCCCGTGGATATGCTGCCATTTTTTTTATTGTTCAACATCGCACAGGAGAAAGCTCCCAGCGGCACCACTTTGCAGGTCAAAGTGTAAAACTGTTTACCCACTACGACTATGACGAGGGACGAACGGGTGCCACTTTAAGGAGCTTCGCCCCTAAAAAGTACTCCGGCAAGCGAAATCGAACGTCTGACGTCTTGCTTGAGACTGCGTGTCGATTGCTTGTGATCCACGGAGGAGCCCCTCCTTTCAACGCTGAAACGCCAAGCTATTTAAATCTACCACTTACCGCTGGCGACGGTGATTTTAGAAGCGTGTTTTCAGTATTACCAGCGAGATGGTGCAATTACCGTGCATCGCCAGGTCGTCACGACGCGGCAACGTGCACTGATCCGTTCATCACCTACGAGTGTTTTGCCCCGCATAGGGGGGGGGGGGGGGGGGGGGTATGTGCACGCGTGCGCGCGCTTATCACACGGTGGCCATAATCGTACACCTTGTACTTTCACTGAACGATTCTGTTGTAGTTACCGGGTGCACAAAGGTCACTGCACTCGCTGCACAGTGTCCATTTGCGAAAAGGCCGCGCTTTTCAGACACACCCAAAGTAACAACTGAGATAACTGACAAAAACGTAACAACTGATTAGCGTTAATCTCGTTATGTAAGTACGTTTCGTGCGTCATTTGTGAGTGAGCAACGTGGGGCACGTATTGATATGCTTTGCATCATATTCTTGACATTGCAATTGTTTTTGTAATATAGCATACACTGCTTCGCGTTTGCGGCAAAGCTCTCACTCTTTTTTTTATTTCACTCTTTACTATTAGGCATTAACGCGGACACACTCGTTAGGATACAAGGTATGTGCTACGTAGATTTTGTCATGTTGCTACGGTTCAAAACGTTATTTTAAAACCGAATAAAAATTTTCGAATGTGTGATTTTTCCCCAACAAGAAGTGCAAAATGAGATGCTGCATAGGGCAAAATAAGACAGCATGAGAAAAATCAATTGAAGTTTTTGCAGTAGAAATATTTGAAGTTCTCTCTGTGGGCCCTTACGCAGTTTTAGGGAGCCATAGAATGAACACAGAACACGGTGTTAAATTTTCCGAAACTTCTTGTAGATCTAACACCACCAGTCTTTCTTTGTGCTGACGTCTTTTGTTGAACGCTTGCACATCATTGTATTATTCAACAATTGCCACCTAGATAAGTTGTGACGTATATTCTTCACTTCTTTTTCCCGTTTTGATGCAGAAATGCTCGGGTATTTATTAGGTTTTTACTTCGCTCACCGGGATTTGTAAGACTATGAGTTTAAAACTGTGCTTTATTCAGATTTTCTAGCACTTGTTCTTTTTTGTCAATTAGGGTATTAGAGAAACGTTGTATGTCTTTAAAACTCAATTCAATGACGTGTTTGTTATTGAATTCACTTGGAGGTTCCGTCTTTTTTGTGCGTCTTTTGAGAGCATCATTGGGAACACGAAAAAACATCGATGCAGAGCAAATGGAGGCTGCCATATCCTGAACGGCAATCAGTGCTTTTTCATGTCGTTTTCCTCCGAGAAAGCTCTACATGATAATCTCTCTCATGTGCCAACTCTTCTAAACAAACAAATATAGTATATAAGAAGTGCAAAGTAATGGTTGAGTAACTAAGAAAATTTCCAAAGCAATATGATGATGCCTTTTGTCGGGTTTTGCCCCACTCATATGCCGGAATTTTAAAGAAATTGTGCTTTAACCCCTGAGTACTAAACGAACTAAAATATTGTGTTTATACAGGCCGTAGTGTAACAAAATAAATATTTATGTTACTGTACTGACGCAGGAGTAGCTTCACGCACGTATAGGAAAATTTGGCCGTGCATAATTTGGTCCCTTTAGGATGAGCCACTAAAACACCGACACTAGCGGCGTAACTTTTCCTGTACGAACGCTGTCAGCAATCATCAACTTTACACTGGAAAAGGTAGACAAACACCAGCACTTATCGCTGGAAAAAAGAAACACAGAAAAGAAGTTTGTATAAGCTAGAGAGGCCGGCAAAACCAAAATGTTGCGTTTTGCCCAATGTCTAATATTTCTTTACCCTACCTTATATAAACTTTGTATGCGTAGCTGAACACTGAATGAGTGCTTTGGTTACTCACTCTACAAACTGAATTCCTGGTCTTCTGCTTTCGTGTGACCAGGTTCTGCAAATGGCCACCACACTGTTGTTCTTACAGCGCCAAGTTATACTTCTTGAAAAATTTCGTATGTCATTTCAGCTGTTTTTCTCGACAGGAACGCATATAAAGAGAGTGACTCGCAGCCACAAAGGCGTTAATCGCCTCTTCACGTGCTGAAGCAGCTCTTTGGTTAAAAGCAAATAAACAATGATATATATTAGACCAACAATAGAAATGACACATGGGCACTGTGCATTGTCGACCTCCATGCAGCTGTGCAATGTTCGCACTCCGCAGATCCGACAAAAGCTGGCTTCTACCGATCTGGGTTGTTTATACAAAGTAGGACTGCAAAATCGCTTGCGTCTGGCTTTTTTGAAAAGTGTGAGCCACCTGCCCCTAAATATCAGAAACATCATTTATTCACTGCCCAACCAGATAGTTCATTGGTCGTAAATACTCGGTGCGCGAGATCTAAGTGACTCACAAGACTTTTACATGTGCGTAAGTGTGCTTGTTTTTGTACGTAATAAAATGCACTAACCTGACTCACGTTTGCACCCGTATCCGCAGAGTCTCTTCAGTTCCTTTCTTTTTTTTGCGTGTTAACTTTTCAACCGTAACATAACCTGAACATACATGGACAAAAGAGAGTTTCTATATGTGAATATTTCTTACAGGATGGTGCTCAGCTTTGAGGGGCCCACCGACATCGTTTCATGCTGCAGCAAAATCAGATTACTTTTGCATGCAAGTGCCGCAAACATACTCCCGGATTTTCTTTTTGTTTTTATCTGTCAAGTATAAGCACATTACCTCACGAGTCAACACTTTTTCTTTCTTCTTTCGGCTCCGCGATTAAGCTAGACGCAACTAAACAGCAATAACTGCAGAGAGGTGGAGAGGTGGCGTGTGTGGGGTGGTCTTACGCTATGGTCATGTATGACAGGAAAGCGCAATATGCACCACATAAACTTTATGCAACCAGTCACAAAGCCCTCGAGGGTCTTAGACAATGCCGGCCACTCTTTTTTATTCAGACATGAATCAGCAGCGGCGAGTATTGGCACCTGCGTGAGCCACATTACATACACGACGCGCCGCCACACGCAGGGTTTCCCTTTAGGGAAGACAAAAGTTTGTCGCAGCACCCCCACCCTTATTATGTAGAAGTATGGGGCTGTCTTTGTGCCCTCTCCTCCAAGACTAAGGGGTTATCCTCCCCCCGACCCGCCGTGGTGGTCTATTGGCTAAGGTACTCGGCTGCTGACCCGCAGGTCGCGGGATCGAATTTCGGCGGCGGCGGCTGCATTCCCGATGGAGGCAGAAATGTTGTAGGCCCATGTGCTCAGATTTGAATGCACGTTAAAGAATCCCAGGTGGTCGAAATTTCCGGAGCCCTCCACTAAGGCGTCGTTCATAATCATATGGTGGTTTTGGGACGTTAAACAACACATATCAATCAATCATTCAGTCAATCAATCTATCGGGTTACTCCCCCCCCCCCCACGATTTCTTGTGAGGATGCTTATGACGACGCGTCCTGTGGCCTCTGAGGTTGTCCTCCTAAGTACATGCTCACCTCGAAGTTAAGATAACAAAGAAGGCGAAAATAATTTCCGGCTGTTTTGACACCTAATCATAAATTTGATGCAACTTGCGATGCGATAATATTTCCCTGATATGTTAACTAGGCCTTTACCAAAGGTCTGTGACATTTTTTTCACAATGTACAGAACATATCGCAAGGCTAGAATAATTTTGTTCACTTTAGGTTTGATCACTTCAAACTGTATAGGTTGTTCCGTTATATGAAATGTTAGTAGAAAATACGTTTTAAAGCATGACACGTTTATACACACGAGGGCGTGGATGCACTACCTAGTTATCGTGGGCCCACTTCAGTGCACACAGAATGCAAAATTAAACAGTCCGTTTATAAATTATGCACATGAAAAAATTCCAGGTGGTCGAAAAACGCCAGCAATAATTACTAATAATCTTATAAGCATAGCATTCCTTCAAATTCAGGATACTTGGCCTAGTGGTACTAGACATTACACAAAAATATCTCTGTTCTTTTTTCCTTTCACAAAAAACCGGCTAATGTTAACAAGTAACTCAGTGTTTACGTAATGACAGTACTATATACCGTCAAAAACCTGTTACCCAAAAACTGCCAATGCTATACGTAAACGGAATAGATGGACATGCCATCAGCAACGAAGATGAATGAAACACAGCCATCTAGGCTTTTAGTTCTGTCTGTCTGTATATTGCGTGTTTAAACAAGGAAATCGAAAAATTTATTCATTTTGTTAACATTGTCGGATAAACGATATGAACGAGCAAATTTTGCTGCACTATAGCACTGTATCGGAAGTCACTGGTGCAGAGATGGCCCATAAATTTCTGCTAACTGCTTATACCTGCCTTTGGTCGGTAAGCATCATCGATAACTCGTTGGCAGCAACTTTCAGGAAACTGATAAAGCGCGCAATCACTTTGTCGTTTACAACGTTGATAAAAGTTTGACATCTCATAAATTGTCGTTGAGAAGCAAAGCATCACCTGTTACTGCGTGGACAAATTACTTGGACGTGAGACAACTTACGCTAATCCCAACTGCTGAAATATGTTGACTTTACTAGAGCTATTCGAAGTTTCTAGAATTTCTTCTCAAGCTTTATATTTTTATATAAAGCAAATCTTCATGTATAATGGTGTTTTCATAAGCATTTGTCTTTATTAGTCTCTCGCATTACGACAGTCGAAGAGCGAGGCCGTTAGGAGACTCACTTTCCTGGTGTCCCCAATTAAGGCCTGTTCTTTTTAAAAGACTGAGTGTGCACTCCGAAGAAAGGGTAAAATATACGCCACAAAGCCAACGCTACAGTTGAATGTCCCAGCTGTTTTACAGCGAAAGCTGTTATGAGATCACAACTCGGGTCACGCGTGGCGCCGTAGTTGCCCGCCGCCGCCGCCGCCGCCGGTGTCCGTAGCCACTTTACACCAATTGAGAAACAGAAAATGGCAACATATCCACGGAGTGAATGATGGAGAGTGGGGCGAAGCATCCGTCCGTCCATTCGTTCTTGCTTCCGTCCGTTCACGATTCTGTTTGTGTGACCATCCGTGTGTCCATTCGTCCGTCCATGCGTGCGTCTGTTCGTGCGTCCGCACGTCCATATGTGCGTCCGTCCCTGCGTTCGTCCATGCATTCGCCCCTGCGTCCGTCCATGCGCCATCCGTTGGTGCAGCCATCCGTGAGTTTGTCCATGCATCTGTCTGTGTGTCCGTTCGTCCATCTATTCAACACTCCAAGTACCACCATCTCGCATCTTTTCATCATATATTCCGCATATGCACCGCCATCCAGCGGACATTCCAAGGACTAAACGAGAGGTGTCACACGCACACTTTCTTACGGCTTGCGCTTCGTGTCTACTTCCCACCTTTAACCACTTCGAGTTGATGGTATATACTAGTTCACTGTATTCATGGCACTGTGGCCCAACGCTCGCTAAACCTTTCTAAAACTAAGGAGGTTACGTCCAGCAAGTATAACGTAGCAACCCTTTCTTGTCAGATAGTGCTCAATGTACATGCCAATGGCTGCTAAGGGGTAATGAGATACAGGAGAATTTGGCTTCTAGGTAACGCGCACGCTGTTGTGTATATTGTGCGTAGTTGTGTATTCTATGTAAGAGCTTCTTTATAAGCACACTAGCTTTACTTATTTTTTAATGTTGGGAGATATAAGTGAAGTGCACAAGCCACAGCATTTGTATTTTCACAACACTTCTCGAGACCTGCTTAAAAAATTTGCCCCCGCATCTGCATATAATCTGCAAATGTCGTCGAAAGACGATAGTCTTGCATGTGGAGAGAGTGAACAAAACATTTATTTTATGTTCTGCGCAAGAAAATTGGTGAATGGTATTTTGGAGGTGCTGTGATAGAGTGCCTCGAGTGTGCAGCGGAGGCGAACGAACGCATCAAGGCACGTCACACGTGAGACATGAGTGCCAACTGGCAGTTTTCTTGGAAAACAACAGGTGCGGCTCTGAGACTGGTGTGAGCGCCCATCTCAGAGGTGATAAGGTGTAGAACGCAAGACGACGGGTAGGTGCCACCACTGTCTCAATTTAGCAAAGCGTTGGAAACACTCGTCTTCTTCTGCAGGTGTTGCATGGTCAGCGTTGCGTGATAAGAGCTACGGTCCTTATAATTACTTACGTATGCCTTTTCTATTAAAAGATGCACATGCAGAATATATACGTGTTGTTATGGTGCCCCAGATATGCGCAATATTAACGTTTTAGTTGGCAATAGCACAAGTATGAACGCCTAACCTTGAGCAATGTTGGTGGGCGCTGCGGATGGGGTCGGCCGTTTGAGGCGTCGACTAATGTCGTTTCAAGTACGCGGTGGTGTTGAGTGTGGACAAACAGATAAATGTACATACAGATAGACCAAAATTTTTGCATCGAAGGTCCCCAAGAAAGACTGTACATATATCGTCTTTTAAAAAATCCCTGTTTGATCTAAATTGGTGGCGTTGCGGTGATGGGGAGCGGGAGTAGCGGCAGACGGGTGAAGGGGCGTCAGTGAGGATCGAGAGGCGCTTGAGGAGGCGGCGAGTAGACGTTGGAGGGTGCACGGCTGAATGTCTAGACGTGGTGGGGCACATGTGGATAGGGTAGCTTCGGGGTAGTGGGTTGGACTAACGGCGGCAGCAATAGCGAGAAACATGCCCAGGTTGATGGCAGGAAAAGCAGATAGGCTGGTCTTCAGGAGTTCGCCCTTCTGCAGGGTTCCTGAAGAGCATGGTCGGAAGAAATCGGCGAGCGAGTGTTTCCTGTGGAGTAAGGGAGTACTTCAGGATGAGTCTGGAAACATGCTGACGACGGAAGGCTGCGATGGGAGAACTCCTGCCTGATCATAGTTTGAATTAAGGCTACAGATGGCTGTGATGGATTAGTGGCTTTGGTTGTGAAAATAGGCTGTTGAATAGGAGCTGGACAGGCAGCTTGAAGCTCCTGACGAACAATTTGAGTGACGTGGTCATACATGGGTGACTGGCGGGCGGCTTCATACGACAAAGTGGCGGTTTTAGGCAGTCGTGTGCATCACTGCGTGATATGGCGGCTCTTGGCATGTTGAAACCGCTGGCACTCTTTGACGATTTCGTCGATGGTAGCAAGGTCAGTGTAGAGAAGCAGGTTGAAGGCATCGTCTGCGATGCCTCTGAGCGCCACCGATACCTTCTCAGTCTCGAACATGGGCTCGACAGCAAGGCGGTAAAGAGCGATGACTTCGTGAATAAGCGCGACGTACGATTCGGTAGATGTCCATGCCCGTGTAGCGAATTGATTTCGCTCAGCCATCTGTTATACAGTGGTGTCACCAAAAAGGATATGGATCTTCTCTTTGAAAGCGTCCCAGCTGGTAATGACGACTTGGTGCGTCTCGAACCGTACCCGTGGTGGATGATCAAAGTAAAAAAGCACGTTGACCAACGTGAGTGTCGGTTCCCGCCGACGCCGATTCATTCATACACGTTAAGGTACTTGTCAATGTCAACACCTTCCGGTCCGAAAAATACACCAGGATCACGAGTGAGGGGCAGGACTACGTAGGTAGCAGTCACGGAAGGGGCGGGTAGTGAAGACGATGTTTCTTCAACCTGTTACATGGTCGGATCCGCAAAGATACGGCCGTTGCAAAGCTTTGTGATGGGTACATAGAAGAACCAGCAGCTCCACCTCAAATATTTGTTATGTAAAATGAATATAGATGTGACTATTTGCGAGTGTATTGACACCGATCAAGACGGAACACAGCAGGCACAGTGGGCAAGCCAGTCCTTTTCGTCATCTTCTGTACGCAGAATTGTTCAGCCATCGTGCGCCAGCTACGCAAAAATATTAATCAATTGACTTCTACATCAGTTTGGGTGCAGAAAATGAGAAAAAGATCAAGCATTATTTGCCCAATGTAGTGACACCTTAACGCTATCTTATAAATTATTTTCAACTGCTGGACACGTCTGTGTAGTTGCATAAAAACCAATCTGCCAGTATTTCAGTTATTGTGTTATAACATAATCATTTCCTAAAATTCCTACACCTGACGTAGTATTTCACTGTCTCCAGTATTGGAGGCACCCCAACGAGCTTTGCACTGGGTCGATGATTGGTACACCTTCAATTATAGTCGAAGGAAGGAAAACAGGGGGAAAAGAACGGCCGGGAGGTTAACCAGCCTATAGGCAGTCGGTTTGCTACCGATTATAGTCGATGTAGTGTGACGAGGTCATAGCGTAGCGTTACGTCGCAGTTACGTCTTGATGACCTTTTGTGGTGACGCCATCACTGATGAGACTTTACATCCCTCGTCCCCAATGCCACCGATGCCGGACGCTGACTCCGACTGGGTATTTTAGACTTTGATGAATTAGGAATCACAGGCTCTTGCCTTAAGATATTTAATTGGGAATCAGTGAAGCATAATGATAAATGTACAGTTTGTTGTCGTGCTAACAACTGAACGGGTATTAAATGTCTAACTTGCTGAGCGAACAAGAGGCATTTCTAAAAGCATAACGACATTACATGTTCATATGGATCCAGTAGTTTTGTCACGCAATTGCGAAGAAACTATCGAGGCTCTTCGCAGACCAAAGGCACGAGAAACCTTTAACAAAAAATATGAGAATCAGACTTTCGTTTCACTATCACCGATTCGCCATGCTTATAGAGCAAATAAAGTAAATCAGGCCCTGAATTATGCGACAGGTATCATAATTATTGGTACTCTATCTGCGTTTTGGTTACCTCATCAGGAATGACGTAGTTTTGGACGTGGTGGCACGGTGGTGGGGCACCGGTTACGAATGGTTGAGACATTACGTGTTAGTTGTGCTCGGTGATGCTTGATGATGTTGGTCTGCATTATAATTTGTCATTATTTGGTGCTATGTTAAAGAGGAATAGGCTCATCGCGCAGAACTGACTAGTAATTTGGTACTCTTTGTTCAAGTTCTGCGTGCAGTCGGAAGCCCAAAGAAATGGAACATCTGGATACCGCAGATTATATGGACGCGCTTCAAGTCAGAAAATGTTGACATCTCAGGCAAGCAGATTCTAATAGCCCTTAAAGTAAACTTTCACGTGTTGTTCCTAAATAAGCCATTTCTTATACATCAAACACACCCGAGTATACAATCATGTTTCTAAGAAAAGTTGGATTTGATAACTCCAGTGTTTATTCATATTCTTGTTAACGCAGATACATGGTGTTAGCAGCCTCGTGCATGAAGTCACTCATTTTTGGCCTCAAAGTTCTTGTTTCAAATGTTTACAGTAGAAAGGTATTGTGCGCACACACTATGACATCCACGTTATAGTTTAATGTCCCAACTGTTTCTGGTACGGAAGCATTTCCCAGAAAAACACGCGCCAATTGTATAGGTCTTCTTTGTTCGTCGCCAAACCATTTCTTCTCGCTTGTATTCCAACTGTGAAGTAGAAATAACATGCATTAGAAACCACAGCGACGGAGTTAATTTATCATTACTTTTTCACTTGATAAAAGCAGAAACTAAACTACAGTGCATTTGCGTTTTCCATAATATGTAAGGATGGGAAGAAGACAGTAAGAAACAAAATATTGTTAGCTGTCGTATTGAAGCATTCGCAATTGTAGCGTACACTTCAGGCAATAAATTCATCTCAGCGTGTTCAATGAGGCTTTCTTGAGTTGTCTTCTCTTTCAGGCTCATAGGATTGAACTTTCGCAAGTAGATTTTACCACGCAGCTGCTTTCGCAGAAGGTGCATATTACGTCATGCGGACAGTGCTTCAGATATGATAAGCCATTGTCCTAAGTTTCCAGGGGCTCATCAATTATTTTCTACGTAATTATCGAATAACCTCCGTACTGTAGTTCATTGCCTCACGAACCGAATACCGCGAAACTTTTTCGGATCTGTCAAAAATGAGCGGGGTTATAACAGTTTATAGCGTGCTTTGATCGTTTTATCTCACCTCTTGTAAGGACGAGCGTTCTCTATGCAACACGGGGAGTGATGCCACCAGAGTTTAAAGCTACGTCAGCGCATGTCATGTCCTTGAACGTGCGTGATGACCTGTGATCTCTCTCTTCCTTTGTCAATTCTGTGCGCGAGTACAGCTCACTACGTATTGTTATCAGACTGTGGAGTGCAGCCCCGGCCCGTGACGGCATCCCTTGACAAGGTGCACATCTGCTTCAAACATCGCACACTGGCTATTGGCTAGCATGCTATATACAGTCCGACTTCAAGCAGCGAGCACCGGCAGCTCCAGGATGAGTGAGGAGAGGCCTCTGTGCGATATGAGAGTTCCTGAGAAAATAGGCTACTTCACGCTTCACGTTTAAGCTTTCTTGCTGCGCATGGCTGCAAAATTTGGCTGTGCTGCTCATAGCAGTGTCTGCTATCCTCAGGACGTTATTTCTGACCAAGCCCGGTGGTTGGTCCATTGCGCCTTCAAGAGACCTTAGAGGAACGACCAATCATTATATTATTACGTATTATGCACAGTGTGTCCCATACTTAGGAAAAGTTTTGGAGCATCGAAAGCGTGGTGCAGCCAGCTCTGGCAGCAGCTTGCGCGTGTGCAGACACCTGAGAGTCATAGTGTTCAACTGCGTCGTTTGCTACGGCGGTACACGACTGTAGTGTTGCCCACACAGCGTGGCATGCGTTCCTAGATTTAACCTAAGTGTGATACAGACTCCACAAGCGCTACCACGTAGAGTAAACAATCTCGGTTGTTTAATCAAATTTCTGTACTTTTTTTTCTTATTGCCACCCGGTTCAGCAGGACATGGACGTAGGTTGCTCGATTTACTGCAAAGGTCACCCGTTAAATGCGCATTGCAACAATAACAAGTGTGCTTGTGGTGGACAGAGCGCTGACAGCGTTGTAAACTGTCTTTCTCGAAAAATTGTGGTCTGCGTAAAAGTTAGCGTGCTATTGCAACAAAGGGCTCTGTACTTTCGAAGTTTATTTATTTTTAAATTTAGAGGATGGTTTTTCACAGTTTACATCATAAAGCTCTTTTTCTCCACATCTCTTTTTATTTTGCATAATTCTGAATATTTCTTTTAATGTCATAGTTAAAACATCTGAACACAAGAACATCATAACGCATGAAGCATCTTTTAAGTTGTCTAGTAGGCTTGAACGCATGAACCCATATACAGACAACAACGTTTCGGGCATCAGAACCTCAAACTTTGGTTTATAAGATGCAAGCATACAATCTTCAAGATCCATCAACTGAATGCTCCTTGTCACACCCAAGTGGCGCCTGGGCACTGCAATCAAGATGTCGCCTTATGCTCCCGGAAAACCTACGTACGTTGGTTCAATGGAATATAATCATTACTTTTTTTTAAGTGGAAGTTTATCGCAAGAATCTTAGTTTTGGGTGCGAATTGATCCAAAACCACTAAGTCCCTATTATAATGGTCGAATTTCGTGTAAACGTTCGAGGTACCCCTATCAGAGTAGTATATGGCCCGTCCTAGCTCTTCTTATGGGAAGAGTGAGCTGGTCATTATGTTTGGCACGCTAATGGGTCAAGTAAACAGCTAATTGCAGATATAGCTAAATAATTGCGAATAATTATGCGTTGCCATTAACGGAAGTGTTCGGTGCTCTTGTAACGGGCCACTAATTAAGTACAGGCATGTTTATTTGACATGCAAATAACATTTGCTTATACTTTGTGAATTTGAACTTATCTTTAATTCTTGATTTACGTGTACTATAGTGTGCATGACTAAACAAAGCTCGGGTACTATTTAGAGGTTAGCTTTTTTCAACAATACTGTTTATTGACGCCTTAGAGCCTGTACCACACCATTCTTACATTTATGTATTATGTATTTATATTTGTGAGAATGTTGTTATTGAGAGCACCAGTCCTAAGGGCTTTGCTTTGTAACATTATCGTCAAAAATTGTTCAAGTACATATAATGTTATTGACCTTATATTCCTGCGCCTGATCGTTCAACGTTTGGCTTCAATGTTGCGTTGACGTATACTAAGCCCTATGAATTGACTGCAAAATTGGTGAATAGGCACATATCGCTGACTGAATATTGAAATATAAAGTTTTTTACATATAAAGATACAGTCGGTGCGTTTTAAAGACGCTGAGTTTTACAGTTTCATTGATAAATTTGCTTTCGAGTTTTCATTCATTATTATAAGAGAAACTTGCTACTCCACTGAGGCTGATGTTGAAGCTAGTTGTTAAAACTAGTATCACCTGTGAGTATGTCAATGATTGGTCACGAAGCTGCAAATATTTTCAAGAGATGTGCTTAAAATCTAAAAAAAATCTCATTACTGTTGTTTATAGACTCCCTCACGGCAGCATCAATAGTTCTTTCCGATTCTTAGACGAACATTTTAGTCTCGTCCACAAAAACTATTATACTTTAGTATTTGGGCGTGGGGGGGGGGGGAATCTTAACATTGACGTGCTGACAACATTTAACAAACAAACCGACTTTTCTAACATGCATCTATCATACAGCCTCTCGAATGTCATAGCGAACCTAACTCACGTTACAGCCACTACAGCGACTTTAATTGATTTATTTATAACAAACACTGTTGATACCATAATGTAGTGTACATTATGTTACGATTAGTTTTACGTTTAGTGATCCTTTGCCAATCTATTTGATTATCAATGTACAAACTTATGAAAACACTCTCAGGAGAGTGATCTTTACTCTCAAGACATCAATCCACGATCTCTTTCTTGTTTTCGGGAATGAATATGCTTGTTAAGCTGGAATGACATACTGTCTCGTTCTTCACTTGAAAAGGCTTATACCACTTTAATAATACATTCTGCTTGGTATTTCATGAACTTTCTCTTATAAAGAAGTGAAAAAAAGCAAAACAGCTTGCTAACCATGTTTTCGTTTTAGGTTAATCCAAATATTTATCATTTATTCGTGTGTACTCGTGACCCTGGCGTGTTAAAAGAGTTTAAGACATTCCGTAATCACTTGACTAAGTTGCTTAAGCAGGCCGAACATGACTAATACTAGGCCGTGTTTGAGGGCATTGCCTGATTTAAAGCAGCTGTGGAATAAACTGAATTCTGTCTTCTCACATTCGCGGTCCGCCTTTATTGCTATTGAGCTGAAAGTAAGAAGCGAGAGCTTTAAAAATGAAGCCCTAACGAGTAAATTTAATGAGTACTTTCTATCATTGGCTAAAAGCATTCCCGGTCAAGATGCGTTGACGTATTTACCCAACCACCTCACACATTCATAGTACCTATATCAAACAGATAATAATGGCATTCTAAAGGTGTTCGAAAAACTGAGATGAAGCAAAAGTAAGGATGTGAATAGGCTAAAGTTTGAACCAATCTTTCATATCATTGACCTGACCACACGTTGCCTCACTCATATTTAAAACATCGCATTAACGTTCAGCATTTTTGCCCAACAGATGAATGTTGCAAGGGTAACTGACAGGCATAAAGGTGGTGAAAGAGATAATTTAGGCAATCGCAGACCTATATCAATTTTTCTGTTGTTTTCTAAAACTTAGAAAAAAATATTTTCCTCAAAGATTTCTTCCTTTGACAAGAATTCTATAATAACGTCATCGCAACATGGGTTCATTCAGATTAGCTGTTCGAATGAAAGTGCTCTTCCTAAGCAAACAGAAATAATTTTGAACAGTATTCACACTAAGAAACTAACACTAGAAGTATTTTTAGATTTCTCAGAAGCTTTTGATAGAATAAATAATGACACCCTGCTAGCTAAATTGAGCTAATACACCACACGTGGAATAGTTTAAATTTAATTAGAAGTTACTTAAACACCATTAGGTGAGTTATGCCTCAGGGTAGCATACTGGGCCAACTTTATATATATATATATATATATATATATATATATATATATATATATATATATATATATATATATATATATATATATATATATATATATATATATATATATTATGCATGCTGTTGACTCATTTGAGTACATTATTTACGTGAATGTTACTACCAGTTTGTTCGTTTTAAGAATAAATAATTACGAACCTAATACATTTAGCAAATGAAATACTAAGAAAAATATATAACTAGTAAAAAGGCCACTTCTGCTCAATTTCATCAAGAGAAAAAAACAGTGCTTTTTAGAACGAAATCCGGGCCCTGCTATCTCACAAAGTCTTTTACGCTAAAAGACTCAAAAGTAGTGCTTTCCCCGGCCGCTAAAACATTAGGTGGTATTTTTGTTGAACTGGTTACTTGGGACCACCATAAAATTACCAAAATTGTAAGCTTTTTAAATACTTAGGTATGTTGCGCAGATGCCAGTGACTGATATGAATACAACAAAAACTCGTGATATATACTGCACTATTTGCTTCGCATCTGCGCTAATGCCACCTTGTTTGGTCAAACAACACAGAACACTCATTAGGCCATCTAGTCACACTGCAGAAATTAGCCTTACGGGCTAATGGTGATGCACCTGAAAATTAACATATGCGCGATATATTTTTGAAACTCAAATTTATCACAGTGGACCACTTCAGCTTGTGAGTTCTTCTAAACAATGAACGATCATGTGATGACAGCACGCGTCTGCTTTCTGGGCAGATAATGTGTAAAGTAATTTTGCGAATACCAACCTTGTTTCTGCTGTTGTTTAAAATGTGTCTTTCTTACTACATTTCTCATTGCTTTGTTTTGTGTATTCTTATTTTATAATTGTGGCAAGTGGGAATTCTCGATAACGTTGCTGCTGCTGTTAATGTTCGGGTAAGTGGGACCAGTCAAGCTGCCTTTTTTAAGCTTTTATTCCACCATCTTTGCTGTTTAAACATGTTTTGCACCTCTGTGGCAATGAAATTCACTTCAAGTTCGCTAAACAAACGCAACAGCATTATCCAGTTAATATAGCCGGATTGTATTTGCCCATGGCTTTGAAACTACTGGCCATAGGTGTTTAAAGCCTGTCTAATTATTACTTGCAGCATCTTTAATCTCGGTGCTATTATTAAGTAATTCTAGCTTCACCTAAATGATCCGCCAGACGTTCTCCATTGAAAACAGAGCAACCTTGCGTTGAATGAAGTCGACAATCGGAGTAGTGAGGCGTTATCTAGCTGGTTACTTACAAGGCACAGTGTACCGTTGGGGCGATGCTCAAACTGATAACGCCGGCAAGTCGCGGCGCAACCGGCTGCCACAATGAGCTGCAAAAAATAAATTTTATCATCTGTTATTGCGTACATTTATTCGCGTTAAATAAGTAAATTCTCTCGGCTGTCGACCTGCATTCGGACACTTTGTATAAGTTCATGGCTTAATGTCGATTGTCGTAAGAGAAATTTACTACCACGCGAGGCATTACGTAACCATAAGTATTGCTGTCATAAAATACAGCTTGCTATAAAATACTATAAAATATAGCCCATATAAAACTGCAAAGTCTTCTGTCTATATAATAGTGCTCACATTACCGTATACAAGCGGAGCGCTTAACAGCTGAGGGTTCTCGAAAATCGCAGACGTCATCATGTGTTACGGAGGTATACATCAGACGAGTCAGAATCAAAATGCCCGTGGTAAACCTTAAAGAACTGCAAACTTTTATGAAGGTTTAAATATTGAAGAAATCTTAGTAAATTAGGATACTCCTTGTGTGCTCGTTCCTGTGAGCTAAAACAGATTAAGCCGTGGCTTTTATATAGATGTTATGCGCAGAACAATTTAGTAAGAACTTCCTGTCAAATGATTCATTGCCACATAATAGTTACTGATTTTTAAATCATTGCTGAAAATTTAGGGCGCTTGCTTTGTTAACTTCTCACGTTTTTTTATTCATTCCCATGAACCACCAAATTTTGTGATAAATCGTATCTACCTTATCAGTGTACGCATATTGTTGTTCTAATTTGCACCTAAATTGTACCCTTTCATATTAGGACACTTTCAGAGCATACCTTAGGAGAGACTTGAACGTTACTGATTTTGCACTCTTTCTTCTTAAATTTGTGGTGGACTGGTTGGTCGGGGGCTGTAATGCAAATGAAAGCGTCAAGTGAATCTTTTCGCGTGGTAAAACCAGAAAGACATTATGACGAAAACTGTGCATGAAAAATCTTGACTTACATATTAGTGCATCAAAGATACTTTTTTATGTTTAATGGTGTAAGTCATGTACAAAATTTCTGGTGACAAAAGCAATTTATTATGTAAAACACTACAGGCTGGTGTTTTTTTTTTCAGAAATAGTCACTACAAGAAAGTGAACAACGGTAGAATTGTTGCACTATGTTTTTTTCTCACATCCTCCTTATGGCTTAGTGTTTTTTTTAACTGCGCAATAGTACAACGAAGTGTATATCGACGACAGAATAGCCAGCATCAAAGTATCAAACAATGTAAAAAAACATAGCATATAGAATGGAATGACATGGATTGCGTATAAATGGCATGTGCAATGACTAGTTTTTTTTTTTTTATTGCAACGTAACTGCACTCATCAATGCCGCTGGTGTCAGTATGAACTTCGATTGGCGCCGAAGGGTAATGTGCCGGAGAATAGGCTGCGCCGTCAGTAGAAACTTCAGTTGATAGATAGATAGATAAATTGATGGATTGATTAATTGATTGATTCTTGATATGTGAGGTTTAACGTCCCAAAACACCATATGATTATGAAAGGTGCCGTAGTGGAGGGCTCCGAAAATTTCGCCCACCTGAGGCCCTTTAACGTGCACCCAAATCTGAGCACATGGGCCTACAGCGTCTTTGCCTCCATCAAAAATGCAGCCAACGCAGCCGGAATTCAATCCCGTGACCTGCGAGACAATAGCCGAGTACCTCAGCCGTTAGACCAACGCGTTGGGGTGAAATTCAGTTGATTAACGGTACCTTGACAATATCAAAACGGTCAAAATTGTATGAAATCAGGAAGCTGAAGTAGAATTGCAGCCAAATGCCTAAATGTGCAGTCAAATGAAATTCGCAAAGGCTACAATTTAAACTAAAGTTCTTTTTTAATTATTCTTCTTGGCCCTAAAAATAGCGGTGTTTAGCTGTGCGCCATTCTAACACACCTATTTTTAGCGACCTACTTTTCTACAAAAAGAGGCTTTTGTTTCGCTGAGTACTTTATAGAAAACTGCGCATACTCTTGGAACGAATAGAAGCAACCTGTAACAGTGATAAATAAAACTCTTCTTTTGATGAATTTGATCTCATATCCACTGTTGCGATCAATATATAGAAACATGAGCGGTCGGTAGTTACTTTCATGGTAACGTGCTCTGTACTGCCACTCTGTCTTCTATGTTTATCAACTATTTGACTCTTTCGTGATTGTTGCTCAATCACAATTAAAGTATTTTCATCTATACTACTTTGTGACCATTTCCTGCCCTTTTTCTTGCTTTTATTTGTGGCTGTAAGTGGCCAAATCATGCAGCCTAAGTGATGAGGTTTCTTGACGAAAGTATCGACCTGGCGATTCTTTCTAATTCTTTGGTCAGGCCCTAGATAAGGTTTTCCGTCCACCCGTCACCGTTGAATGGCACTGCTAACACGAATGTCCCATAGGCTTCTATCGTTTATTAATAATGCGCTTCGCAACATATTCGCATTACTTATCGCTGCCGAAGAGAAAGGTATACAGTACAATGAAACCTCTACTTTGTGAACAATAGAGACTATAGGTTTCATTCAGCACGCATATTTGTGTTCCCGCGCGACTGTAGTCCGCACTCGTTCACGTGAGCTACATTTATTTTTCGCATCGGTACGGTTCACATACTATACACGTTCAGACAATTGCCCGCCTTGCGCTCACCTGTGGGGTCGCTTTTTGTCTGCGTAAGCATCATCTTTTGTGGGCAAGTGCTTTCACGAGCGTTTTCATCTATAGCAAGAAGAGGAGTGGTCTAGAACTCCTTTATATGCTTTACCATCATCAGCGTCATGGGTTGTTGTCTGCGTCGGCGTTGCCGTTCCCGGGCGAGAGTGCTTCACCGTCGTTTCTATCAGTCGCAAAAAGAGAATGTGTAGTCTGGAACGGGTTGATTCTTCATAGCCCTCAGCGTCATCGTCAACGTCAGCACAGACAACGCCCAGCAACGGACGAGCCTATCAACGTCATCGTCATTGGCATCGTGCATAATTGGTACCATATATCGTCATCAGTGCCACCATCATCGTCACCATGAGTACGAATAACACACAACGGACAAGCCTACTTATTAAAATGCTTTGCCCCTACACGCTGCACGCAGCACGCTTCAAAAGCCTCATTCTGTTCCACATGGCAAGAGTGTGCCGAAAAAACAGTTCAGGCTTGGTAAGCGTAATGGAGACTGGTAGTGTCTTCTACACATGTGGAATTTGCAAATGAGCAGGAAAGAAAATGGACCAAAATGAAATACATTTGCATAAAATTTAAAAAAAACAAATATGCATTGGTTTAGGTTTCATCATTTAAATACACGTAGTGACGTAACACACACTGAAATAAAACAGCATCCAGTGTTCTACAAAAATTATCAATCTTCAAATGAACTCATACGCCTTGAAAAAGCATGCCTGCGTGGAAAAATATATCGCGGGTTTGCTGAAGCCTGAAACTATTTCTGAATATCTTTTTTTTTTGGGGGGGGGGGGGGGAGGTGATGTGTTATTCGTACCAAGTGCGTTAAACCTAAATAAACATCTATACATGCACACGAGTGTGGTCTGTTTCTTCTTTTCGTGGTTTTCACTTCAATGTGCGAAAGTAAAGTACTCAACCTATGTCTTAGACACAAAAGAAACAATCGTTCACACGCAGAAAAAAAAGAACCTTACGATGTTCCACGCATTGTCCTTTCTTGCACACACCAACTTCTTGCAACTTCATGCCAGTCCAGCTCAATGCGTGTTTATACTGAAACACCGAAAGAAGGCAATTATAAAGACTTACGTGGATGTCTGTTATGGCACATGAAGATATTGAAACAAAGGTAAAAAGTAAAAAGCACACGTGTGTGTGTGTGTGTGTGTGTGTGTGTGTGTGTGTGTGTGTGTGTGTGTGTGTGTGTGTGTGTGTGTGTGTGTGTGTGTGTGTGTGTGTGTGTGTGTGTGAAATTCGCAAAAAAGAAACTCCACGAAAAACGTAAATCTATCAAAAGCAGCACTGGAAATGAGGATATAACTGCAAAATACAGTAACAAATTGTGACATAGCATACTTCCACAGGTAGAGAAGCAGAAAAAGAGTTCTAGTGAGCTCTTTGTGAGTGAGTGAAATTATCTAGGGATAGTACAGTCAAACAAAAAATAGACGAATGCATGGTTCACTTACCACACATAATATTCCATCACGCAACGGCTGTGCTACTTTTCCTTTCTTGCATACGCATCCTTCGACAACTGGAATCTGTAGGAACAAGCCATTCCATATGTGCTCTTGGTACGTTCTGAATTCCCGAGAAAATGCACTGTGGAGATTCCATTCGCTCTGTATGCTCACACAGTACATCTTACTGCATTAGATCCGGATCCTTGACTGGCAGTAGTGTCCAGGCGAATGTAAAAACCTACATGGTCATTATATAACGCTTTCTATATAATCTGAGCGGTTTCCTAAAGTTATATTTTTGACGAGATCTACTGTAGCACAAATTTACTTTAAATAATTATTCACACGAACCTTTTTAAAAGCTGGGTACTTCATAGGTGTCGTAAATTTCTTAATCACGTTGTCCTCCCTGCTTTCCTTTTTTCTCGTTTCTCTTCCTCTTGTTCGCGATACTTTTATGCATGCAAATAAAGACAAACAAAACAAAACCTCATGCAATGCTTATTTAAATTGTGTCATACGTATACATTATAGAGATTGGTCGGATAATTTATTTCGAGTCAAATTCCTTGTTTTGTAAAGCTCAGATGAAGAGCCTATACACCCATAACAATTGCGATTCCCGTGAAACGTTACGCAGGTACGTTATCCTACCACAAAGTGCATAAACATACGACGTTCTACCGTTTTATACGTCGACATAACCTTATCGTACCACACTAGATTCGTAAAAATAAAACGAGCTGTGTGACACTGTGCGAAAGCTCTGTGAAATTAAACTACGGGAAGGGTCTGTTGTGTTCCCGGTCGTATAACTCCTAGAAAGCATGTTCTGACAGCTTAAAGCTCTTTTGCAAGCCACAAGCTTAAGATAAATGAGTTTGTTCACGTATCAATTCACTGCAGTATCATGCCTGGGCCGGAAGTCAAGCCCATCGTTGTTTTCAATGCATAATTATGTATGCTTAGCTGAAACTAGTCGTATACCATACTGTTATTATATTTGTCCTATATTTGCGATCAGATAAGACAATTGAATGCTATGTAGCATTCAGAATAATGATTCGATACAAGTTGTGCGATGACTGGAAATAACTGAAAGTAAAAGCTTGACACAAAGCATGATATTAATTGTTCAAGTATGTATTGCAAAAGAGTTTCTTTACCGGTGAGGTTCTTCGGTGTTGGGAAGCTGGCTTACTACATCCGTCAACAAGACCTGTCGTTGAAAGCGAAGCTAATTAGTGAGTGCAGAATTAATATATGCAATAAAAAATTAAAGCTACGTCACACGCAGTTTTGAGTAAATTAGGACTGAATTCTGTACTTACGGACTTGTGAACAAGCTCCAGCATGACAGACACCCAGCACATCCCTGCTCAAAAAGTTTGTTCTCTGAAACTGCAATGCAAACGTTCGAGAACAGTTAGAAAGCATGAAAATAAATTAAACATTACAGTGTCATTGCCGTCCTGTTGCTATTTAAACTTCAAGCGAACATTATAAGGGTGTGTCTGTCCTTTCAATGTGATCCATTTCAACTGGCCTTTGATGTAAGGGCTTATCAGAAATCATACGTATAGTAATGCTGTCTTGCTCTCTGTTTTCTGTTGCACTACAGACATTTATTATAAAGGTTGACAACCTAGTGTTTACCGTCACCATACATCACACAAGGAAAAAAGTTTGTGAAAGTTGAAGCCTTCCCACAATATGAAATACGAGCTGCACAGCACATATGGAGCAACAAAAAAATCAAGTTGGAATCACTGAATAGCCCCCTGACTATATGTGATCCGAATATTTCAACTATTTAATGAAGCTTAGTACGCTGCCTGTCATACTGTGAAAAATAGGAAATGAGGCGTCTGAAACGAAAAATGCCGCAGCCAAGCGCTGGTGGCTGCGAAGACAGAAGAAGGTGGGTCTGGTAGCATTTCCTTTCCTCTGTTCCTAAGCCTACTTCTTTACCCATCGCCTTGTTATACTACACTAAAGGTGACTACTCTATGAATTTTGTCTCTGCATTTTCCTTTCTTTTTAAAAAAATGGTGGTCTTTCTTGCGATATTTCAACGCAAAACTTTTGGTCTATCTCTCTTCATGCTTGTTTGCCTGTCGCAAGATCCAGCTTCCGAGTTTCTGCACACGATCCGGCGCCTAACCTGAAGCTTTGCTGGTAAAGGTTATCAGGCTACTCCGTAAAATGGGATAGTACTTTCGAACAGGAGAAAAGAGTATACATGTTACGAAAGGCCATGCATGAGGGGTTCTCATATCAGATACCAATTTTTTTGCCGTCATCAGAATTTTTAGCTCATCTGCGCTAAATCTGACATAACGACTTCACATTCCTTCTGTAATTCCAGACAAGAGAGAAAGGTGGAGGCTTGGAGCGATGGAAACTGATTGAACGTCGTTGGAACCAACGTGTTCGTCGAGGCAGCAACCTGTTTTGACAAAGGCAAGGCTACTTGTAGAAATGGTGACTCCAGTGACGTTTGCTGTTCCATAATTTTTCCCACCTCTGGGTAACTTCGGTACCGCCTCGCATGCTGAAACTGGCTGCTCCCTATGTGATTGAACGATAAGAATTTTAGGGGCGCCCTTTTCAGAGCCAGTATGGCCATCTTGCGGCGTAGACGTTGAGAATTAGTTGCTTGTGTTGCTTTGAGAACTCACGGCGTTCTTTTTTTTTTTTTTAAATCAAGCAACGAGGTGGTGCGCTCTTAGATGAGCGAAAATGCGCTAGCATTTTACGGTCAGCTATTAGAATGGCACCAAACCGAAAACAACCAGGGCTGTTGAAATGTAGAGACCTATTTTTTATTTATTTGAATAGTAACAAAAGAACAAAATCCTAGTTACTGCATTTCACCTTATAATATTTTCACTATTTTTTCTGTTAGAATGCTGGATGCTTACAGTGCCCTATGCATGACTTTGCCTAGTTTTCATATCTTCGCCCGGAATATAATAAATCTGTAGCGCATCTGTAACCTGCTATCCAAGTGTCTCGCATCCTGTATAATCCGGCTTGTATCTGCTTCAAGTGTTATAACATACGTGAGGATGGCGCAAAAAAAAGACAAAGATATGAAGTTTGAATCTATCACACATCTCATTAGCCCATTTTACAGTACTTCTCAAGTTTTCTTAAACAAAAAGTGAACTAAAAACAGCTTGGCATTTTCAGCAACCATAATGCAACTAAGTGATCCAGACATAAACACTCGTCAGCCCAATATACCTTTTTTAAGCACATGAGCGCCGCCAACGGGCGCATAAGCTCTCATAGTAAAAGCGTGCACGCCACAGCATCCGCCACGACGAGCGCGCAGCCCTCATGCTTGAATCTCACGTTTACGCCGAGCCAGCGCTCGTCAAATAAAGTGAACTTTGCAAGGTGCGACGTATTGTGCTGCGTGATTCACGCACAAACTTCAGTGTTAGCTGCGCCGGCCAGCCTACGCTTTCCTCCTGTACCGCTGTTAGACCTGCTAAGTGGCTGAAATGCGTCAGTTTATTTGTTTTTTTTTGTTACTGTCATGGCGGCTTCATAAGTAAAACAAAATAATGATAAATGCAACTTGGTTCCCTGGAAGGTGCATGAGTGGTCCATAAAACACGGATGCATTAGGAATCAATGTCCATCGACACTGGTGACGAGTAAGTTGTGAGATTCCAATATTTAAAGGGTGAACTAGAAATAAGCGCATTTCATAAAATATGTTACTTATAGACTGCATGCACGTCGCTGGCACGATATAGAGGTAACAAACGATATGAATCTACCAACCATCCTTGGCACTGCAACTGCATGTTGGAGTAAAGCTTACTGGGGCGAAATGAAAGTAGCAGAACAAGAAATATACACACCGCAAACGCTCACTTGCCACAAAAAGGCAATTGCACATGGTAAAAAATAAGTATACAAAAACGGGGGTGCGTCGCGTATGTTACAAAGCGGAACAAAACGGCTAACCACCTGGACGCGTGTTTACACTCGTTTAAAGGGACAATAAAGTCAAATAATATATTTTCTCAGAGTGAAAGCTTAATGTATGGCAACATCTAAAACGACAATATTATCAATAGCAGTGCCCTACTTACCGAAAAATAAAAGAAATGCACAAGAATACATGCGTCGCACTCGGACCTTCTCAAAATGATCCCGCTGACGTCAGGCCAACCACTTACAATGAATCACTAGCAATCAGCTAGCTGCACTAAATAAAGAACCTACCGTGCATCAAAAAACGCAATAAAATGCAGCTTGTTCGTTTCTGTTTGATTCATGGAAAAAATAACCACCGGGAGTTACTATCGAAAATGGCGCGAGTGGTTCGGCAATTTATATTTCCCGTGGTTAAACTAGATAGGTGATGTTATCTGGCGGTGTCCAGTTGAACCAAACCGCATCTGCCATCTGGGAGCCCATGGCGGGAAATCTATCAATGGCCGTTGTTGCTGCTGTGGCTTCACTGCTTTCGTTCTGCCGCTACTATAGTGTCGGTAGCCGCGCAATAAAGCAGGGGAACATTGCGCACGGCAACAGTGACGTTAGACGGTCCGCTTGATGAGGCGGGTAATTTGAAATGCGCTAACCTAATGCGGACCACTAAAACGTGATTTTATTTCGAACTAAGTGATTTTATTTCAGACGTGATTTTATTTCAAGCAACACTAAGAGGTTTATGGACCACTATTTCAACAATCAACGTCGGCCTAGCAGTTGCCGATAGTCTCCTTTCAATAAAGTTACGTTTCTTGTGCTGTAACGATAGGGATGGTTGACTTTTACGCGTAGTGCAATGTTCTTAATGATATAACTCTTAAATTTCTCGCGTGGTCTCGTTAGGTTGATTGTAGAGAATTACTATGTTTTCGAAGGTGAAATTATATTTTCATGACGAGCAATGCGAAGCGCGATGAGAATAACCCAGTAAATGAATACGAATGCTCTTTGAGGCGCGTGTTATACGCAGTATAAGGTGAATGTATATATGCGAACCCAATTAAGAGGAATTCAGGGAGGAACGCGTGTGACACAATTGAAAGAACAATTGGCATACCTCTGATAGTACTTTTCTCTGCCCGCTCCAGACCCTAGCGACCTTTTGTGCATTACGGAACATATGTACTTAAGCTTGTGATGCGGAAAACACAACCCTCACAAAGTATCACTTCCAAAGTTTCACACTGTGTACATAAAATAACGGTGATATTGCTAAATTTTTGACGGGTGGAAAGCGTTCGCAGTCATCTTTTCTTTTTTGTAGGGGGAGGGGGGGGGCAATGCGAATGAGCTGATTTCGAATCGATGCAATGTAGTACACAGGATAGCGCGCCTTTTTGAGGCAGTCAGTTTGCAGCTGAAAACCACTGCTCAGGTATAATGTGCGCAAGTTTTTCTGTTATTTTTTTTCTTCAGTGAAGAGTGTAAGTAACACACATATTTTTCATTGAACGATATTGAAATGCACTGATGTAAAGCTCAACACTAGTTTCACTGAATGCATAATACACTGCCAGCAAACATGCACCGCAGTGAAACGTAAGCATCTATAAAGCGCAAATTGGCGAAACTAAATGCGTTACAAGTGAATTCTACTTCCGTACTTTCATTTTTAAACGCGTTTATGTTATATTCACTTTTTTTTACAGGGCGTGAATTTTCAATAAAAATAAAATGATGCTGCAACACGTCTCTACAGTTTGATGTTAGCAGCCCAATCAAACCGTGGTGGTTATCAATGTCATAGCGCCTTGTGAACAGTTAATGCTGAATAAACACGCGTTCCACCTCACATTCATAAAAATAGCCAGTTTCAATTACATGTATCAGCATGCAACAACTCACACACCGCTCAATTGCTACGTTCGATGCACATCCTCCCGGTGATATCTGCAGTGTTGGTGTTATTTCTTTCACATTCCATGCTTAGAGATACGTGCAAGTGCGTTCAGACAAGTCTAGTCCTCGGCATTTAATAATATTCAAGAAGCGGGGACCCGGTCTTTTCGTTTCGGGCTCGCACGGCGCCAACGAGCGGTGGCCGGCGCAACAGCCGCTCGCTTGGCGCGCACAGTTTTCCCACAGTGCTCTATACGCCCACGGGGCATTCTAGGATTGCTTGCGAAAAGACTACTTACACAACGGTAAACTTCTGCATGCTTTGGTACACATATCGATGCTCAAAGAAGTTTTTCTGAATATATGACCTCCTTCCTCATAGCCCACATTCACCTACTACTTGTTTCTGAATAATATAGGTATTATTCAAGGCTTACGCAACGTGCCTCCTGGATATCAGCGAAACGCAAAGCTATTTCTAACGTTCCTTTTTCAATCAACATTCGCAGGCACATGACGCAGCACATGGTAGTGAGCCCTAAATTAGCTTCAATAATCATCTCCCCTTGGTCCCGTACTCAAACGTTCTTGAATTGTCGAACATTTACGATGGAACGTTAAAACTGTAGCGTAAGCAGTACGATAGTATTGTCACAGCTAATAGAAAACAATAAGGCACATAAAAGAAAAAAGTAAAACCATCACTGGCAAGCGTGAAACACGCGTTTTGGGTTAGCCTAACAGGTAAAGCATCGAACTGCTTTTTCGATGACTTTATACTCTGCTGGATAACAGGAGTTGTGTTTCCGAATCATATTGCAAGATGATATTTCACTTTCGTATGTGGTATATCCGTCAAGAGAGAAGACGTGAATGTCAGAAAAACATTACGAAAAAGCTTTGCTATGAATCTTATTATTTTTTTCTAGGTTCTCGTGCTTATATAGCAGCTCATTGAGCTTTAGTTGCATAAATTTTCTCTATACGAAAGGTTACCGGCTTTTAGAGAAATACCAGTATCACTGAAAATAACCTCATACACAAGTTCCCACAAGTTTCTTAATTTCTGTTTGATGTTCTACGTGCCTAGATGTTAACAGTGTGACAAGTATGACATCAGCTGCCTTAGTAAAATCAACACTGAATATATTATGCCACCAACGTAGAGCTCACCAGACATGTGAGGCCGTATGGACGATTTAGATTTGCATGGCCTTTGCCGTGACACTTGTACGTACATTCCTCGACCACCTTCTGTAAAGCAAAGCAACTGATCAGTAGTTTCGGCTTAACTATTGCATAGTCAACCAAAAATGTTTTGTCCTAACAAAATCTAGAAGTAGTCTTTCTTTTCACATGTATACCAGTATACATGTGAAAAATGGGCGCGAAAAAAATATTTTAGTCCGAAAGAATCCCTACATGTCCCCGACTGTGAACTCCACCATCACAGGCTACGGCTGTTTTTTTTTTCATAGCTTGTGTGACGTAATAAGCAGCAAGGAGTGGAGCTGTAGTTTTCTGCCCAATTATCAGCAGCGGAAACATTCAATTTCAGTTCCGAACTGAAGAAAGCTAAAATGTCTTGATTTCATGCCAGCTGAGCACCACTGCGATGGTCTAGTGGCTAAGGTACTCGGCTGCTGACCCGCAGGTCGCGGGATCGAATCCCGGCTGTGGCAGCTGCATTTCCGATGGAGGCAGAAATGTTGTAGGCCCGTGGGCTCAGATTTGGGTGCACGTTAAAGAACCCCAGGTGGTCGAAATTCCCGGAGCCCTCCACTACGGCGTATCTCATAATCATATGGTGGTTTTGGGACGTTAGACCCCACATATCAATCTTCATGCCAGCTGACTACGGAAGAACAGGAATTCGCGGGAGTGCATGTAGATGCTCGCATAGCTTGCTGCTTGTTAGGTCACGGATTGCGAGGGTGTCAGTGCAATGCCACCTAGGTAATTTTAGGCCTGCTCACTGTGTCGGCCACAGGCTCTGACGTCACTCCGTTTCGACAAACGTGTTTCACTTCACAGACGTGCCTCCGCTTGCTCTCGTCGCTCGACAGACAAGGATTGCCAAGCCCGACGAAAGTTTTCGTGGTATGCTAGTGTTCTTGTTGGTGACTTGAGAAGACCATCTTTTTCTGTGTCCGTGAATTGCAGCGTGGATAGCATATGCGTTTTGTGCACTGGATATCCGCAATCTGTACGGATGGAAATCCGAATGGTTGGGCGATTCTGCGAGCCGAACTGTCGCAGCAAAAGAACTGAAGTTGCGAGTGTTCTCGTTTCCTAAACACAAGCTAAGGAAAAAATGGGAGCATGCTCTTTGACAAACTGACGTCGACAATCGTTTTCTTCGTGACCCGAAGGTACGTGTGCCCGTACTACATATTTTTATGTCGTTCCAATGGTCGCCGCATCGCCACTATGTTCCGTTCTTGATCAAAAATAAAGGTGTCATGTGTGCTTCTGACATTTTGGCGTACGCCCGGCCATTATATTATTAAACGCGTGTTGCAGAACCTATTTAGAACAGGCGTTTTTTCTTCAGGATTAGTAAACATTTAGCAAGTGGCAATTAGCGCCGGGAACTTGTATTACCTTTGTTCACTTGGTTGATAAAAGTGGGAGAAATGCTGTTGCATTACTTAGTGCATTGGATTTGGCCATAGTATTTTCTTGTCGGTATTCATATCACGTTATCGCAGCATTATTGCGGTCAGCACCTTCCTCTTTTATGTTTCCTTGAAATTTAGATGCGTGTAGATGCTTACGGTAAAGCACTTTTTAAATTGGCTTTTAGGTGTGTAATGTCTACTTCAAGCTATAGAATAATTAGCGGTCACTACCAAAATTATACCGATTCAAAAAAATTGGCAGGGCAATAAAAGCCCCCGTGGTAGCTACGCGGTTTCATATAGACCCAGTACTAATAGTTTTGTTAGGCTCTAAGTTAAATGACCGACTACACACCATTGCAAGAGGGGCCAGAGCAAAAGAGAAAACGCCGCTTGGCTTGTTGTATCGGTCACAATATATTGTTGTGAAACGAAAGATTTTGTTGTTTCTTGCGATGGTCATTACCTTATATTGTGCGGAATACCATACTTGTGGCAGAAGCACGTACTCTCCTCAATAACTACTTGTTTATAAAGACAAATTTCGAAAAGAATACCAATAAACTACAAAAACTTTGCAAATGAGATAGCAATAGTTTCTCTGTCTGCTCTAGGTTGTGTGTGTTTGCGTGCGTGCGTGCGTGCGTGTGTGTGTGTGTGTGTGTGTGCGCGTGTGTGTGTTAGTAAATAAATGAATAATGTATAAAATTTACCGTATTAATTGTGCAAATTTGTTGGTTCATTAAATTTTGATTTTATACATCAATTACACGTTCGATAGCGTAAATGCTTGGCTTTCTTGTAGAAGAAATGGCTTACAGGGGAGTCTCCAAATGCTTGAAAGTGCAATACATCACCTAAACCAGTCCCTTTTTTGACCCACAAGGCCGAATAAAGCTGTTAAGCATGTAAAACATGCCTCGAACGCTTTATCTTTAAATGGGAACTGTTTCAATGGATTCAGACTCACGTATGCGTGCCCGCTCGGGCAAAATGAATGATGTTATATGGTGGCACTGAGCAGGCCTGATAGATGGCATTGGCCAGCGTCGCCCAATTTGAAGGCTACCAGCATCTTCAGAAAAAAATATCTTATTAAAAGTTAGGCGTTCGACCAAGTAGCTACAGTTTCACCAGGTTGTTCGCGAATGCACAAATATAACATACATAACACAGAGAATCAGCGAAAATAGGTTGTCATAGCCCCTTTAAGCATTTCACCCACGTCTGGTTGCCTCCACATCCGCTAACCTCCTTGCATACTGGGAGTAGCATGACAATGATGATCAGTATTAGGCATGACACATGCGCACAACCGAGGATGCACCAGGAAAAAATTTGTTGACGACAAAAAAATGCAGCGAAATTGATTGTGTCAATACTGAAAATGGCATCTCAGTGACCGTGGTACATGGTTCTTCTACAAAAAAAAAGGCACAATACTGACTGTTGTGGACTGCCTAATATAGCTTTCGATCAATTTAAATGAAAAGTGGTTACTCGAATTTTTAAGGTGCACGGCACGGCATTACTTCCAGCGTGACATTGCCTGCATTAACATCCGCTTCTGAGATGACTAATCCTATGTTGTATGTCCCTAAAGAACCCGTTGACTAAGAAAAGCAACCAGTGCTTACTGTGGCGATTTCGTCGTCTCTATTAGTTTAATGTCCGGCTTACAATAACTTAAAAGCCATACTTTGAACAGACCAAGCCGGTGCTCTCTTGAATAAAGCTTTAACAGGGCCTATAAATTCTACAAAGCCTTTTTGTGTAGTGCATTGAATATTTCACACAGAATCATGCAGAACAAACTTGAAGGGCTTGCAGCTATCCATTGATTTGGCTATGCGGATTTTTTATTCGATGCTTAATTAACTTTCGCATGCGGGAAAATTGAAAACGTTCACACGTGCCCAACTAATATGGAGCAAATAATGAGAATGTCAAATTACAAATACTGCAAATTTTAAGACATTCAGAAAAACTATCCGGAAAAATTCAATTGTCATTGAATAGCTTTTTGTACGACACAGTTCTCTCAAAGTTAGAAAAACGAGTGATTGCAGCCGCTGTAATCAACCAAGAAAACAGAAAAATCTGTGACTACATTGTCAGTGATTGTGAAATATTCTGGCTCCAAACTCCAAGGACAGTGGTGATCCAGCAATACTCACCACGTATCTACTAAAACCAGATGAGGAAGAGACTGGGGTAAAGCGAATATGAAACATAAAACGTATGGCAAGCATAACAGGAAAGTAACCTTGACGTAATGTGCACACTACTATGTAATTTCACATGGTCCTAATGTTTTAATGGTCCAGCTCACCAGTACATGCTTACGCTATCTACGAAAATATTTTTTTTTCCAAAACTACTGAAGAACGTATCTTTTTTAATTCGTTGATCGTTACCATAATAACTTTAACTTCGGCAAAGCATCTACGCCTCCATCTAGAGTTTGTGTTTCAAGACAACGGGTGCCTTATTTCATGGTATTTTTATTCAAAAAGAGCGCATTGCTTAAAGGGAATTCCTTTGTCTAGACTGACTTGCCTTTTATGGCTTACTTTATCTCTTCACACGCTCGTGGAGGCATATTCACGAGCTTTACATTTATTGTAGTCAAAAAAACAAGAATAACACCTGAAAACAAAACTCGACAAAATTCACTTACGGAGCTGCTTTTGTAGCGTTCATAATCATGGCACTCTCGTAATAAGTGGCTCGAATATGAATGTGTATCTGAAATAAATTGTTTAGCTGAGGTCAGTAGCCCTGCCGAATGGTTGTAGTCGCTACTGTCATTACCTGCAGCTCTGCAGATTCCTTTGTGGCATGACCCTGTCAGTGTGACAACAGGTTTACCTGTTAATCGCCTGGGGTACCATTCTAACTGGGAAAACAAAAACAAAAATAGTGGGGTTAAATGCCGTTGTTTTTGTGGGACCACAATCATCTATGGCAAAAAGCTGTAGCGTATATACACTGCACACCACTGCTCAAAGCCCTGTGGTCAAGTCGATAATCTTCCGCGCACTATCTTTATTTCCCATTTTTTGCGCGTTCCTTTCGTGAAGCGGTTCCTTCTTTTATATTGATAGTCCACGTAGCTAACGCTCAGCAGTGGTATAAAGCACATAAATTTGCTTAAGCGTTTGAGCTTTCCTCTATAATCTAACTTATTTATTTAAAATATTTTCAAACTGCCATTATTTTATTCATTAACATCTACGTATCTCACGGTCCCCATGAGGGCACTGAGTAAGAATACTGGAGAGAGAGAGGCGGCAAAAACGAAGTACAAAATAATAGGTATATATATATATATATATATATATATATATATATATATATATATATATATATATATACGTTTATTTTGTATTTCATCTATTTTCGCGTCTCATGAAGGCGGAAATGTAGGCCTGTGTGCTCAGATTTGGGTGCACATTAAAGAACCCCAGGTGGTCAAATTTCCGTAGCCCTCCACTACGGCGTCTTTCATAATCATATGGTGGTTTTTCGACGTTAAATCCCACAAATCAATCAATTATTTCCGCCTCTTCCTTCCCCATAGTCATATTTAGTGCCTTCGTTGGGCCTGTAAGATATTTTGATATATTCATAAATACTCAAACTCACCAAAATATTACAGACTCATACTCACTCAGATCGCACGCACAGCTCTATCCGAGTTTGAGTGAGTTTGAGTGAGTGGACTGACGAGTGACTTCCCCGACCTACGGTTCTAGTTCCAGCACATGCTGTAAAGGTGAAATCAGCTATCTCTCTAAACGATTGTTTGCTTTTCCAACATACGAAAGTATAACTCACCACGCAAGGCCTCCCGTCATCGATGTCTCTGTTATCCCGTTTATAGCAAAAGAATTCGCAACCAGACACTGCCGTGAGCTGAAAACACCGCGATAAATGCCACTTTTAAAATTTTTGTCTGTCCCTACAAACAAACATTCTTCGAAGAACCGATTTTAGTTGTGCAGCAAATCATGCATTCATAAATAAGTGCTGATCTGAAGAACTGTTCGGGATTTTTTTCAAGTGTGGCTTTCTTGGTGTAACCATGTTATGAATAGATTATTCTACACTATAAAGTTACATATGAAAAGGCGAGCATCATTAAATGCTTTCAAATGGTTTCCTCTATACTTTACGGGTTTTCAGTTAATTAAGCAAATCGAACTCTAAATTCTGGTAATGTTTGTTGTTTTATAGCACATGAACTGTTTGTAATGGTTTCTTAGCCATACTAGTACTTTAAAACAACCCATTATATTTGAGATGCGTAAGGACAGTTTCATAAGTGGTGCTTGCATGTCCACTATACCATGCCGTTCTTCAAAGCACCCTCCCATTACCAGGCATAATGTTCAAGCCACTTTAGCTAACAGCGCAGTTAATCGACGTATGCTTGAACGTATACATATGTCCACCCGACATCTGTAGCGCTTAAATATCTAACTGTCATTGTCAGATGTTGCATACAAGTCTCAGGCATCCACAGCGTTTTCTTCCAACTCCTAGACACTACCAAGAATTCTGTAGCTATCTAACATTTATTCTTATTACTTGACAGTGATTTTTTAACAACAATCTTCAGTGTCCACTCAAACGACCGGTTAACTTTCATTCTAACAACTTGTATTTCGTAATACTTTTCGAAGTTTAGAACTTTCCAGATCAGACAGCTAAAGAACGAAAATTTAATTGTAGTGGCACTGCTTTCAATCGGAATGTGCGGCTTCATAAATTTTTAACAAAACTATCTATTTTGTGTTCCTCGAAAAACTGTACTGCTGACACGAAAAGGCACGTAACTGAAGCCACGAAACATGATATACTCGGTGACAACTCCTCGACGTTGCAGCGAAGGCTACGGAGATGGAGCTTCCGCACGTTCGTGTTTCTCCGCAAGTAGTGCAAAAGCTTGCGGGTGATTTCGATTTCGCTCATACGCATCGATTACGCATTTGGAAAACCTTAAACGCAAAAAAAGTGAATGGGAGAAGACATTTCGATGGCTCAGTGTACATTTTAGTGCCATATTACGAGTATATTCTAACACGGAAGTGTTCTGTGCCAGGGTTCTACCACGGGTCTGTTGCCGTGTTTCCAACGTGGATACGACGTTTCTAATGTATAACAACAGCTTCGCCAGCGGTTGTCTAGGGGCTAAGGTACTCGGGCTGCTGATCCGCAGGTCGGAGGATCTAATTCCGGCGGTGGCCGCTGCATTTCTGATGAAGGCGGAAATGCTGTAGGCCCGTGTGCTCAGATTTGGGTGCACGTTAAAGAACCCCAGGTGGTCGAAATTTCCAGAGCCCTTCACTACGGCGTTCTCATAATCATATCGTGGTTTTGGGACGTGAACCCCACATATCAATCAATCAATCAATCAATCAATATATAACAACAAATTGCTCAGGAAAAAAGGGAGAAGTTTCATAGCCGGGCATCAAAAGTACGACCAAACACGACCTCGCGATCACCAGTTCACAGACCAAAACCACTAAGCCATGAAGCGTACGTTGTCATCCAACTTGCTAACGGCAAGCCATTTATATACACTTTATATCGTTGGCCGTGCTCAGAGCTCCGCAACTTCGGCGCGTTTTGGTCATCAGTGGTGAAATGGAGTTAAGGGCACCCACTGGGTGCACTCTAAAGGTCCCCGCTTCGCCTTGCGATGCACAAGCGCTTATCTCGTGGTTCAGGTGCTTCATACCTCTTGTGGGTTCACCAAAGCTTTGCTTTAAAGTTACAGTGGTTCAAGAGGCCATGAAGGTCACTTAACTCGCTGCCGTGGCCGCATTTATGGAAGCAGCAGGCTGTTCATGCACGAAAAAGAAAGAATTGGGACAGCTATTATTCGGTGTTGTGTATACTTCTGCATTCGTTTCGTGGTCTTTCTTCGAAAGACGACAGTCTTTCTTGGGGACCTTCGACGCAAAAATTCTGGTCTGTCTGTCTGTATGTACATTTCTCTGTTTGTCCACTCTTACCAGCATGGAATACTTAAAACGGCCAACCCCATCCGCAGCGACCACCAATGTTGCTCAAGGTTGAGCGTTCATGCTTGTACAATTGTCAATTAAAAGCAATTATTGTGCATGTCTGAGGCACCGTAACAACACACGTATATTCTGAATATGCATATCTTACTAGAAAACACATACATAGGTAATTTTAAAAACTGTAGCGCTTATCACGCTGCGCTTACCATGCAACGCTTGCATGAAAAGGCGAGTGTTTCCAACGCTTTGATAAGACGAGATGGTGGTGGCACCTACCCGTCACCTCGCATTCTACACCTTATCACCTCTAAGACGGGCGCGCACGGCCACGCGCTTTGTTTTCCAAAAGAAACTGCCAGATGGCGCTCATGTCTCACGTGTGACGTGACTTGATGCGCTCGTTCGCCTCCGCTGCACGCTCGAGGCACTCTAACGCAACGCCTCTAGAATAACATTCACCGATTTTCTTGCGCAGAACATCAAATAAATGTTTTGTTCAGTCTCTCCACACGCAAGACTATCGTCTTTCGACGACATTTGCAGATTACAAGCAGATACGGGGCCAATTTTTTGCTTGAACAGCGTGCTTTTTAGGTGCCAAGCTGTGACATCTGTTGGTCTGCGCTCGTCATGTGTATGCTGATTCTGTGCGTGCTTTCTGCTTGAGGTGCGTGCCGCAAGTTTCGAGCTGTTCGCGATTCTCCACGTTACATTACATTTCGTTGCTGTAGAATTCACACCTACGCCCTTGTGCTGAAACCATGCACAATAAACACCCAACCGCCTCTGTGAACAGACGTTTCACTTTCAGGTTACACCTATTCCTAAACAGAGGAATCAGTCACTTTTTTTAGAACTCAACGGCACTTTTTTGGTCACAAACTGACTCAATACGTCATTGATGGTTGCTTTGGAAAATAAGCGTACTGAAAGGTGGTGTCGTCTAAGAAATGGAATGAAAAGCAATGCATTCTTGCAAAGTGAACTGTAACTGTATACGCTTGCACGGAACGTCTACGTCTTACGTCAATGGTTTGAGTTTCATAATAAAAAAGGAGCGCTCGTTTTATCAAAGCGAAATGAGAAAATTATCAGTAAACCTGGTCACTGCGTTTCGGCGTGGCTGCATGCATTCGCAAAGGTTTCACATTGCTATGAAAAAAAGTTGTTGCCGAGTATATGCTATGTCAATCAGTATAATTTCAGCAATTTACAATATCATAAGCACTATACGCCTGCCTTTATCTCGGATATAGCAAGTTCATTCTAAATAATAGATATTATTAATAAAACCCCGCCTCCTATATCACCTACAACACCGTTTGATTACGCTTTACGACCTTGTTATTCTTTGAAATCAAGTTCTATTTGTTTTAAGTTTTTTTACCTTGTCTTTCTTTAGCCTGTAGGCTACATTATTGAAGACTACTGCTGTTTCAAGTTGTAAACAAGCCCTCTTCAAATAGCGCAGGTGGGTCCGATGTATCTTTTGACGATTTCTCCTTCTTTACACGAAGCACCTCTATGACCCAACTTTTCATAGTATATTAATTCGCATTGTCAATGAGGAGAAAAAGAAAAGGTTGCAACGTTGCCCACCTGTGGTGTGACGCTCATGTTGAAAGCGATGCAAGGAGGCTTCGGAAATACCTTGAGCTTATCTGTGTGGAAGATGTTTGTGCTGGAATTATTCAGAACTACACATAAGCCACAGAAAAACCTACTACCCTGCTACTTTTACAAATACATAAAATGTTTTTTTTTTTGAGGTGAACTTCCTAGCGTCTACTTTTTTATTAGGCTGACAGTCCCCTGGAAGACGTGAAGAAGAGCCCTTGTGTGTACAAAAAAATCCTGCTCTCCCACTGACGAAAGCAGCAATTGTTTGTCTACTTCTATATATTTAAATTAAAGTCACAATTTTTGTGCTTAGGTTAAAGTCATCTAATAAAGCCTTCTACGCTTGTTTTGTTCTATGCTTAAAAGGCATTTATTAAAGCCTTCTACACTTGTCCTTCGCCAATCACTCTTACAATTATTATTGTGGTGCAAATATGCTGTAAGAAAAAAAATCTCAGCATATATTCACGGAGTAAATGATGATGAGTGGGGTGAAGCGTCCATCAGCCCTCTGTCCATTCGTGCATCCGTCCATCCAAACGTGTGTCCATCTGCCAATGCGTCCGTACGTCCATCTTTTTGTGCGTCAAACAGACAGAGAGACAAACTACGGACGGATGCACCCAGCGGATTATTCATGGTTTGCCGATAAAACCCTCCGAAGCTTCGCCCTGCTCATTATCATTCACTCCGTGGATATGCTGCGAAGTGGTTACTACACACAAGCATACATAAACATGACGACTGACCCATGGCTTGAGGAGCTTCGCCCCTAAAATCGAAAACATCTTTCCGGAAAGGAACCCTTAGCAGTATGCGAAGCAGTCATGGGTTGACCTAAAGTTGTGTAGAGAAGTGCCCTTTGTTGACCACTTGGACGTTCGCGGTTCCTCACACAGCCTGTTTGCAAGCCGTCGCCTGCACGGCACTCATGCTCATTTTTTCACTCATAATACTGAGCTGCGAAGGAGGGAAATGGAAGTATGCGCTACTATTATACATCAGCAGCACAGTGCCGCCTGTGATCTACACCAATACACAGAGCACGCGCCTCAGTGAAGTGAGCGCTGTATATCACACAGCCATCTAGGAGGACTAAGCCATTTATTCATGCGATACAGGGCAGCAGCAGCACCCCTAGAAAAACTGAACTTAAACCAGAACACGCACCGGAGTGGAAGGAGCACTCTACAGCAGAACCATTTGGGAGAAGTAAACAGTTTCATTGTGTTATATAGAGCGGCGCAGCACCAGCTAGCGTTCTATTCTCATAACGATACCACGCGCAAAAGTGAAGCGAGCACTCTACCGCAGAACCATCTAGTGAGCGCTCCGAGTACTTTCGTGGCTACTACGACAGACAAAGGACAAACGCCGACTATAATTAGGCTGATTCGCATAAAAAAGTCTTTTGACTCCTTTTTTAGACTATTGCCTTGGCATGCATGTGACTCTCTTCGAAGAAACACGTTAACTATCTTGTGCTCGCTCCACGCTCCAATGAGGGTATTATGATATTCAGAGAGAGCTGACGACAAACAGAGATAACTAGGGTTCATCCCTGGTAGCCTACTCTGCACTGCAAAAGGGCAGAGGGGGAAAGAAAGTCCTAGAGGAGGAGAAAAAAGTCACAGCATATCCACGCAGTGAATGAAGATGAGGGGGGCGAAGCATTCATCTATCCATCCGTCCTTGCGTACATCTGTTCGTCCATGCTTCCATTCGTCCATCCGTCATTGTACCCGTCTGTCCATGCTTCCGTCCGTCTTTCCGTGCGTCCTTCCGTCCTCGCGTGCGTCCATCCATGTGTCCTTCCGTGCTTCTGTTCATGCTTTCCTCTGTGAATCCGTCCATGTGCCCGTCCGTTCTATTGCACACACTTCTATCGTATCAACGTCATCTAAGAAATGAGATGAGAAATGGTCATGAGACAGTGCCATGTAATATGCTCCTCGAGAAATACTGCCGGTTACACAGGACAAAGTTAGACTTGGGGGAGCATCGCTCTTAAAGAAAGTCACTGATTGGGCCGACGCGTAACAGTTTCACGTTTCACATCACAAACGATGTAAAAGACTGGTGTCTGAGGAAACGCAACAGTGCTTTCGTTCTCTTTGGAATCGCGATGGGCAGTGCCATGGTACGAATACCTTCTCGACAGTGGAATCACTTTCGTCCAATTTATTTAGAACTGTGTGGAGGCGAATAAAGCCTCGCGTTTGCGTATGCCGAGCATTAACATAAAATGTGTTCAATGGGCTCATGAACAGCGCAGTCATTGAACTCCGCGGTGTCGGCCATCCTAATCTTAAGTGAGTAGGTCATTTTCGAAGGCTACGCCAAGACGCAGATGGCACAACACTGTACCTTCCTCCCTGGAAATACCAGAGGGCAGCCGCAGCCGTAGAGATGGGTAGATAAATTACATTCGACGATGTACGAACTGTGATAATTGCCACTTCTGAAATGCCATGTTCTGCGCCAGCTCCTAAGTATCCAAAGGTGTCAATTCTAGACAAAAGTATAAAAATAAAGTTTGCTGGCGCGTGCGCATTTCTGACAGCTTCATCAGCGAATTCACTGCCGGAGATACCGCAATGACTTGGTATTAACTGGAACAGCACGTTGTGTCCTTTTTCGGTCGTATAGTGCAGCATTTCTTTGATCTTCCACACAAGTTGTTCGTACGACCCACGACGAAGTGCTGACGACAGACATTGTAGAGCCGACTTGGAGTCACAGCAGACTGCTCATCGATTGGTTGTAGTTTGATAAAATAGATGGCACCTCGCAGGGCAACAATGTCCTAAGCAGTCGATATGGTGGCGTGACAAAGTTTGTAAGTCATATTGATGTGTTGCGAGGGGATGACGATGGCGCCGGTGAAGCTAGTCTGTGTGGTACAGCCATCCGTGTAAAGTGGATTCCGTCAGCATAAAAACTGCGCAAACAGTCTAGAACTGCTGGCTTCAAGGCCGAGGCAGAAAGAACTTTTCTATTTCTTATTCCTGCGATGGAAAGGCACGCATTGGTTTGTCGTAGGCACCAGAAGGCGGATGGTGAACGCGCTCAAGGTGTGAAACTAAAGTCCCGGAAAAAAAACGCATGGTAGCGAAGCGCAGTGGGAGTGAAGAACGACGCCTGCAGTCGTTGTTCTGGCAGGAGTGCCGGATGGCTTGGTACCGTCCGTAAAATGTGCCGAATATGACCTCTGAGCACGTCGGTTGTGACGCAGGGTTGTAACCGGTGGTGCCGAGTCAATATCACTGTTCTGGATGTTGAGATGGTTCGTGGTAGGACGATACAACCACGTAGTGCCTGTGCTTGCATGCTGTGAAGCGCTATAATGTTAGACTTGCAAGTTTTAGTAAGCAGAGAAGAGCTCTAGCGCAGTACATCAATGTGATGATTGCCCCTTCTGAAATGCCATGTTCTGCTCCAGCTCCTAAGTATCCAGAGGTGTCAATCCTAGACAAAAGTATAAAAATAAAGTTTGCTTGCGCGTGCGCATTTCTGACAGCTTCATCAAAGAGTTCACTGCCGGAGATACCGCAATGACTTGGTATTAACTGGAACAGAATGTTGTGTCCTTTTTCGGTCGTATTGTAGCGACACGTCGGGGTTGTTCAAAGTTAGGCGCATCGGACGACCAGGGAGACGAATAAGTGTGGGTGAAACTCCGCGGAGGCAATCGATGAGAAGTCAACACGATGATTTCGGGGAGCACTCATTGGGGGTTTATTTGGCTAACACAACTTCAATTTACAAAATGCACTAGGTCAAAGACAAAACATAGAAAATGGTGGCATACCCCTCGGCCTGCATAGCATGGTCTCCGGTGGTGAGATCCGCTGTTCACCCCGACTCCGCTCACCCCAAAAAGAGACCAAGTCGCTGCTTAAATAGGGTTTTTCTTAGCGTCCCCGGTGGCGCGGACCAACCGGGCAAGCCGAGGATAATCAAATCAACATGTGGTTGCCTGGAGCCTGTCTGCGACAACACTGTGGCAGATTCTCAAACGGGCGCGTTCTCCGAAACGGCCTTGACGCGCTAACGACCGCTCAAATGTAGGTGCCCTTTGTCCCCGTAGGACCAAAACGGCGGCTCGTTCGTTCGAAGCATGGGGGCTTAGTGGTTAGGAGAAGGAGAAAGGCACCCAATTTCTGTGGTCTGGTTCAAAGTACGGCGCGGTGCCTGCCCTGGTGCCAAGCGCACAGAGACCGGCTAGACGCAGCCCTTTCTGTTCACTCCTTCTTCCTCAGGGCACGCTCCCCGAGACAAGTTAAACGGTGCCGCTAACAAGGGCGTCTGGCAAAGAACAAGCTCCAGCTGCAGCCAAAAAAAAACAAGGTTTTCCGCGAAACATTGCTCTCGCGACAGTATAGTGCAGCATTTCTTTGATCTTCCACACAAGTTGTTCGTACGACCCGCGACGAAGTGCTGACGCCTGACATTGTAGAGCCGACTTAGAGTCACAGCAGACTGTCCATCGATTGGTTGTTCTTTGATAAAATCGATGGCACCTGGCAAGGCAATAATGTCTTAAGCAGTCGATGTGGTGGCGTGACAAAGTTTGTAAGTCATGTTGATGTGTTGCGAGGGGTGACGATGGCGCCGGTGAAGCTAGTATGGGTGGTACAGCCATCCGTGTAGAGTGGATTCTGTCAGCATAAAAACTGCGCAAACAGTCTAGAACTGCTAGCTTCAAGGCCGAGGCAGAAAGAACTTTTCTATTTCTTATTCCTGCGATGGAAAGGCACGCATTGGGTTGTCGTAGGCACCAGAAGGCGGATGGTGAACACGCTGAAGGTGTGAAACTAAAGTCCCTGAAAAAAAACGCATGGTAGCGAAGCGCAGTGGGAGTGAAGAACGACGCCTGCAGTCGTTGTTCTGGCAGGAGTGCCGGATGGCTTGGTACCGTCCGTAAAATGTGCCGAATATGACCTCTGAGCACGTTGGTTGTGACACAGGGTTGTAACCGGTGGTGCCGAGTCAATATCACTGCTCTGGATGTTGAGATGGTTTGTGGTAGGACGATACA